GGTCATTTATTCCCTAAACAAAACAGTACAACAACCATTTACATAGCATTTACATTGTATTAGATATTGTAAGGAATCTAGAGATGATTTAAAGCATGTGGGAAGAATCTCATGGGTTCTATGCAAATACTACTGGATTTTATATTTAGGAACTTGAGCATCTGTGCATTCTGGTACCCAAGGGGCTTCTGGCTTGTTAGGCACAGATGCTCAGGGATGCCTGTGTGCTCATTAAATATGTCTGAAGTCAAATCAGCCAGGAAGACTCTCTCCCAAAGAGACCCAACCCCCACAGGAGGGAAATGACCACACCTAACTCCACTCCCCATGGGCTTTGCCAGGGACCCGGATGTCTGTATACACAGGGTCTCAGCATCCTCCTGGCCACAATCCCAGCTCTGGCCCAATGCCCACGTGGCTGTGGCATGTTCAGGCCCAGCCTAGGAAGAGTTTTATGATTGGCCTAAGTTGAGCAAAAAGCCCTATAAACACATGCACAACAGAACCTAAGACCACGGCAACGAAAGATTCAGAATATGAGCTTGACAGAAGTCGCTGATGGGTAGGATCCCCCAGACTGAAACCTGCTCTTAACTGTGTCTTGTTTGACCTTCATAATTTAACATAAATCTTAGCTCGCTTTTAATATTGAGTATTCACCCACAAGATTCAAATTGATTCCCTCCTTCCCTCCCTCCCTCCCTCCCTTCCTTCCTTCCTCTTTTGTACCAGGGATTGAACCAGGGGAGCTTAACCACCAAACCATATCCTCAGCCCTTCTTTTTTAAAAATTTTATCTTATTTAGAGACTCAGTTGCTTAGGGCCTTGCTAAGTTGCTGAGACTGGTCTCAAACTTGTGATCCTTCTGCCTCAGCTTCCTGAGTCACTGGGATTACAGATGCACAACCCCGAGCCTGGCCAAATTTCTGACATCTATGGAAAATACGGTGGTCATTGGGTCATTGGCTGGAACTGTAGATGCAATCTTCTAATGGTTTTAATTAACCTTTTTTTTTTTTTTTTGAGATGCACATTTCCAAACATAAAATTCTAAAGGTAAAAGGAGCATATGATGAGGAGTCTCTTCCACAATGTCCTCCTGCCTCCCATGTCCCCTCTCCCGAAATAGCCAAGGGGTCAGATTTCCAAAGATGCCTTACAAGTGTATGCATGAAAACGGTTTTCTCCTTACAGTGATGGCACACTCTGCAGTTTCCCTGTACTAGCTTTGTTCCCTTAGCAAGGTCCCTGAGAGATATTCCTCCATCCACTGGGACTTGCTCTGACCTTTTTGGATATGACAGTGGTCTCCAGTTTGCCCAGTGGCCGTGGTGCTTTACGGTTTCACACCTGTTCTGCTTCACTCCTTCGGGACTCTTGCCTGGTCTCTGGCATCTGAGCCCGCAGACGGGTAGAGAGAGATGAAGGACGGACGAAGCAGAGCGCCCTTCCTGTCCCCACCCACTTGCCGCCACTCTCTGATGCCTGCAGTTCCTACACTTTCCAGCAGAGGGCGTCACCACCTTGCTCCCAAGCCCACCAAGGGGTTTTTTCAGGGAGGTCCAGACTCGACGTCCAGGGAAGAGATGCTCTCTCCCTGGACACAAAGCCTCCCTTAGCTGGACTCAGATCCTCCCGCCACCACCCCTGTCCTTGTTCCTCTGCTTCTATCTCCCCGCACTCCTCTGTTTTGAGCTGTGCCCTGACTGTCCCTCCCTCCTGTGCGGAGGGGCCCCTCCTTCACGGGGGTGGGGGGTGGGGGTGGGGGTGGCGGAGCTTGGTTTAGTCTGGGGCCCGGAATTGAGAAACTGCTGGAGGGAAAATCCTAACAGAAGGCTTGTATCTGGAACAGCAAGGCTTGCCCCTCCCTGATGAGAAGCGGGGTTCCTCTCCCTGCCCCCACTTCCCTGAGTCGACCCCAAATACCCTTTTCCTGCCCTGCTTTGCACACTCCCAAGAACACCCGCTCCCTGGCCTGGGGCCTGCCGCCTCCTCCCCTCCCCCACGGGGGTGTTGGGGGTCGCCTGGAGTCCAGCTGGTGGCCAGTGCAGAGCCACCCTTTCCTGGCCCTGCCCCTCCCCGTGACCCCAATCCTCTGCCAGCCGCTCAATGGTGCCTTGTTCTCTCTCCAGCCCCCAGACAAAAGTCCCTCTGTCTAAGAAGGCAGAATTAGGGGGAGGGGGAACCCCCAACAGGGACCATGTGGGGGCCTCTACAGACCCCAGCCGGAAGGAATGCTGTGAGGCGGGGGTGACCGGAGAGAGAAGGACAGGGCCTTGCACAGGGCAGGCGACCTTCTGGAGTGGGAGGCAGCCCCCCACCTAGCACCGCGCTGTGGACCCAGGAACCTTGCTCCCAGTACCTTGGGAGGAGCAAGGGCCAGGGAGCCTAGTCTCCCAGGGCAGGCTGGGGGTGGTGGCCTGGTCCGGGCACCCTTATTTGGTGTTCCTGTGTCTCCTTCACATCAGGACCTTGATCATATCAGCATCTTCTACTGACCCTCAAATGGTGTCAACAAAGACATGTGGCCTGAAAGGGACTTTAAACCCCCATAGTGGCCAGTAATCCCTCCCCCAAGCAAAACACACCACCCAAGCCAAAGAAGGACGGTTGCTAGGTGGATGGGTCACCTCTCTCCCCAATCTTGCCAGACAGAGGCTCTGCCATCAGAGACCCCAGAACCTTCCCCCTCCAAGATCTCTTTCTGGTTTCAGGAGATTAGAGAAAGTCCCACCCCTAATTCAAGGGACCAAGTCCCAGCCCATCCTGCTCTCCCTGCACCTCACCTGGGGCCGCTGAACCCTTGGTGACCTGTGGCCGTGACTGGGGAGGGGGTGGAGCTGTCTCTTTAAGAGCAGGAATGGGGTGGGGGAGCCCCCAGCCTTAGGGAGACCGGCTGGTTCTCTACCTGCCCAGGTTTGCTTAGGGCGTGGCAGCTGCAGATAGAGGCAGAACTAGGACTCCACTGGCAACTGGCTTTCTCCCGGAACCTCAGCTCTACCAGAGGAGCCAGCACCAGGTGAGCACCAGGGCCTCTCCTGCAAGACCCCTGAGAACCGTCCCCCTCCAAGGTCCTTTTCTGATGGCCAGAGATTGGAGGAAGCCCCCTCCCTTCCTGTGACCGCCCCCCTTCATTCTCCTCGCAGGGACTGAGCCAGGCAGCTAGGGCAGGATGAGACCTGTAGGTGGGGTCTGGAAAGACTGGCGGGGTCTGTGGGACCTGGGGACGTCTGAGCGGAACAGAAGTGTCAGGATTGGGGTGTCGGGGTGGCTGGGGTATTTAAGTAGATCGAGGGTATTTCAGGGCGTGGCGGGAGGCGTGTGGATCTACAGACCTCCAGGAAAAGGAGAGGATGCCACCAGGGGAAGCCAGAAAACAGGGAGTGAGTTAGACTTCAGGGACACGGAGAGGTGGGGTCTTTCTGCACACCCCTGAAGTCATGGTCATTGGCCACCAGCTCCAAAGAACAGAGGGGACAGCAGCGGGCAGGTGGCAAATGCAGCCCTCCGGCTGGTGTGGGACCCCCTTGGCCGGGAGGGTACAGCTGAGGGATCCGTCAGCTCCCCCCTCCCCAGTCTTGGGTGCAGGGTGATTTCTTGGTTTTGGGGGACCATGGAGCCTGGCAGGCCAGGGGGTGCTTGGAGAGAGGTCCGTGGTGAGAGGAAGAGGAGAGACCCAGCAGTCCCAGGATGCGAAGCATATGGTATCAAGTGGAATTCTCAGGGGTGACAGGGTTTGTGACAGCAGCGTGGGATCATGATAGTGCCAGCTCCATCAAGCTGTGAAGGTGATCTAAATGAACGATATCAAGAGCTGAGGACAGCGCCACGTGGGGCGGGCGCTCAGCAAGCACCAGCTATTATTGCCAGTGTTTGTGTCATCAAGAACCTTATGAGGTAGCGTTAGACAACACACAGGCCACTTCAGATGGCTGGCAATGAATGCTCCTGCTAAAATGACTGTGAGCCGGTGTCACAGGGGAGCTGTGACATTCCCAGGCCAGGGAGGTGGAGAGGGAGATGGAAGAGCCTGTGAACATGCAGGACAGACCTGCACCCCCAGCCGCCGAGCATGTATGCTGTCATCAGTGAGATGACGGTTGGCCTCAGGGGTTGCTGGGGGTTGAGAGCACAGCGAGGTCTCTGGGCAGTGTCCAGCGCAGGTGGTCGAGGGTTCTGCTCCTGCCGTCAGGATTCCCATGACACGTGCGGGGGTGGTAGAGCGGGCAGGGCTTACTGCAGGTACGCATGGTGGGCACAAGATTGACACTGGGCCAGGGAGGGAGGGGAAAGTGTCCTAGGTGCTGGGCAGGCCTACCTGGGGAAGAGGGGCCTGTTGCCAGGGACGGGGAGGAAGGTATGGGCCAGGGAGCAGGGCTGGGAAGGGCCAGGAGGCCAAGGCTGGGGAAGACGGGAGTCAAGGACAGGACTAAGTGGGGGCCGAGGCGGGCAGGGTACCGTGGGACAAAAGGTGGAGCTGGGCTGCCCCCAGTACGAGCCCAGTCTGTCCTCCCCAGCCCCCTGCCCCAGCCTGGCTTCTCTCCTCCCTCCACCCTGCCCTGCAGCCGAGGGGAAGCTCAGCCCCTGTCTGAGGCCTGCAAAGTCTGGGCAGAGCTGGGCAGGCTCCGCGCTGTCTATGGGAGACACTCCCCAGCACCCGGGCCTGCTGCCACCTGGCTCCTGACACCCGCTTTCCCAAACACCCCGAGGCCCTGACAGCCCGGAGTTAGGAACAGCCACCAGGGAGCCAGGCCTGGTTGCAATCCTGCTTCCTGGCCAAGTGACCTGGGGCACCAGCAGTCACCTCTCAGAGCCTCAGTTTCCCCACCTGGAAGGCGGAGAGAGCAGCAGGCCGGGCTCCCTTGCTCGGTTGCCAGAGTGACTCACTGAGGGCCTACAGTCCCTTCCCCGGTGGGTTGAGGAAGCTGTTTCCTCATCGGGCCTGAGACCTTCCCCACCCCCACTTGACTTTGGGCCTCCTTCCTGTCTCAGCCCGGCCAGTCTCAGGGCCAGGCTTCTCTGGGCAGAAGGCCGGGAGGAGGGCACTAGGAGCCAGAGGCACGGGACGGGCACCCCCCCGTGGCCCTGCTAATGCTGCGCCTGCTTCCTGGCCTCCTGTAGGTCCGTCCTCGACATGCGAGAGGTGGCTCTCAGGCTGCTCGTCCTCCTGTCAGGTGAGCCCCAGGCCCTGAGTTGTCTTTTCCCCGGGACCCCAGCCAGGTGGTGCCCAGCCTGTGGGTATGCGTGGGTCTGCATTTTTCTATCTGCCCCGGGAAGCTGGTCACTGTTAGGGGCGTAGGGTCATATTCATGATTTCAAGGGACACACAAGGAAAGTCAAGGCCTCTCTTAGCAGCAGCCCACACAGCTAGAAAGCCACCGTCTTCCCCATTCCCCTGTCAACTGTCAACCTTCTGAGGAGACAGGGCCTAGGGCTGTGTCGCTAAGGCACCCCTAAACTATTCCAAGAGGCTGCTGGGAGCCGAGCCGAGCAGGAGAAATGACCAGAACACTCCGCGCCTCAGTCTCCCCATCTGTCAAAGTGAGGAGAGTAAGAGCACCCGTTGGCGGAGTCATTTCAAGGATTAAGCGAGTTAATATTTGAAAAGCACTTAGAACCATGCTCGGTACAGCCCGCACGGGGCGTGGGCTTCAAATATGATTAAAAATAATTCATCTCCCTTCAGCAGCGAGTTTGAGGCCCAGAGCTGGGGCAGTCGGCTGCTTGGAACCAGAATTTAATCCTAGCCTTTTTCTTTCTTCTGCATTTTACTTTCTCTGTGGCTTTGGGCAGGGCTGGCATTCCGTTCAGGGTAGGCATGGAAAGTCACATTCAAGTGTATTTAAGTCGGTAATAGGGAGTCACTTTGCAGGGGATGGTGAGCAGATGCCAGCCCAGGTGTGGGGGGGATGTGGCAGAATCAGGAAGGGAGGTGATGGATCTGGCTGGCTTGGGGGAAACCGAGCCTTGGGAGCCAAATCCATCTGTCGTCTTGATAAGAAAAGTCCCCCCACCTCTGCAGGAGGTGTGGATTAGCCATGTGTCTGGAAACAGGCAACTGAACGGTGGCCCAAAGCCACCCAGAGTAGAACCTATCTCAGGTGACAAGTGGCTGGTGTGACTCAAAGGTGTGGGGGTGAGTGGGCAAGTCCATGTCTCCATGATGGGACGCCAAGGCAGCGAGACTGGGTTGGGACTCCCTGTGCCCCAGGGACCCTCTCCCAAGGCTCCCTGGACCTTCCACACATCACCATCTCCCTCCTTCCCTCTGGTCCCCGCCAGGTCTGCCTGCACTGGACGCCAATGACCCGGAAGGTGAGTCAGAGGTCCCCCACCCACCCCTGGGACCCCTGCGAACTGCTGCTGTCCTTGATTCATGTTCTTTTTTTTCTTTCCTTGCAGATAAAAACAGTCCTTTCTACTACGGTGAGAGCTGGTGCCCGGCTTCTTGGTCTCCTCCCAACCCCCCATGCCATTTTGTGTCCAAGTCCCCACACAGGATGGGTGGAGGGTCAGATGTGGGTCACAGGAACAAGAGGCGGCAGCATGGCCTGGGGGAAGATTCTCATCTAGCAAGATAGTTAGATACACTCAGAAATCGAGGGCAGACCACAAGAAGCCATTAGGTTCAAACCAACTGTTAGAAGAAGGGCTTATATGAAAGACTTCCTGGAAGAGGTGAGGGACTCTACCTACATCAGCATTCTCCCACCACGTTCCACTGTTCTGCTCCCCCTTGTCCTTCTGCCCTCACTTCCTCCACTGTCCCTCATTTCTGCTTCAGCCACACTGGCCTCCTGCTGGTCCTCAGACACAGAACTGCCAGCCACAGGACCTTTGCACCTGTGGATCCCCCTGCCTGGAGACTTCCTATCATATGTCCACACGCTCTTTTCTTCACCTCCTGCAGATGGCTGCTCAGTTGTGGCCTCCTCAGAGAGCCCTTCCCTAACCACTCTCTCTAAAACAGCTGCCCTCTGACTCACAGTTCCCAGCTCTGGCTATTTTCCTTCAGATCGCTTTATCTCCACCTGACCTGACAAGAAATATCTTGTTTGTCTGGGTGTAAACTAGAAGGTGTGCACCGTCAGGCTTGGGTTCTGTCCTGTTCTCTATCCCCAGTGCCCTGCACATGGTGGGTGATCAGTACCTATTTGTCAAGTGGATGGGGCGATGGATAGAAAGGACCCGGGTTGGCCTTGAGGTCCCCTCTGATTTTCTCCCAGATTGGTACAGCCTTCGGGTCGGAGGACTCATCTGTGCAGGGGTCCTGTGCGCCATCGGCATCATTGTCCTCATGAGTGAGCGCAGGGGCTGATGGGGCAGTGGGCGGGGCGAAGCCTGGAGTCCCCTCCCTTGACTGCTCACTCTCCCAACAGGTGGAAAATGCAAATGCAGATTCGGCCCAAAGCCCAGGTAAGGCGGTTCCTGCCTGCTCTCCTCTTGCAGAATGAACACTCTTCAGGGGCAAAGAGCCTTTCAAGTCTCCCCCAAGGGGATAAGACTCAGGGTTCTGCCACGCCTATTTCTAAGGTTTATGGTTCATAGCTAATAATTCCCCAAAGGCCCCAAATTCTGAAATGCTTTAGTTCCTGGAAAATAGCCAGGAAGCCAGGTCTGGGTGAGCAGAGACCCCTCTCACCTGAGGGAGAGGACAAACGGGTGGAGGTGAATCTCACCACCTTTTTTCTCCCCTAGTCACCGGCCAGGGGATGCCCCACCTCTCATCACTCCAGGTAAGACAGGATCAGCGTGGACTGAGGGGGACAGGGGTCAAGGAGGGGCTGTGCACATACACGTACCCTGGGGACAAAGAACTCCATCCACCCCTCCAGGCTAATCCCATCCCCTCTCCTAGGCTCTGCCCACAACTGCTGAGGTTGGACCAGCTGAAGGAAGGGCCTGTCTTTGTCCCCAAGTCCTGGCTGTCCACAGGAGCCTGAACTCCAGGGTAACATCCTCCCGCCCCTCCCCAGGCTGCCTTGCTGGGGCCTCGCCTCACGGCTCACGGGAGGGAGCTCTTTGTTCAATGTTTTAATACAAAACCATCCGGCCTGCAGCCCGGGCAGCCTGCAGACTCACCGTGTGTGCCTGGGCGAGGGCGGGGCCTGGACTGGGCGGGGCCTGGGCTAGGGCGGGGCGGGGCCGGCCGGGGCGGGGCGGGGCCGGCCGGGGCGGGGCGGGGCCGGCCGGGGCGGGGCGGGGCCTGGGGGAGGTGGCTGCGGGTTGGCAGGCAGCTAGCGGGTGGATCTTAGCTGGGAAAAGCCTGTCCTCTGCTCTTTCTCGTAGCCTGCTAGAGGGCACGGGGCCTGCTCTCTGCCTCCAGGCCGTGGGAGGCTTGTGTGCACTTTAAGATGTTCCAGTGTTAATGGGGGACACTTTGTGATGAAAGAGAGCCCTAACCCCTGGATGCTGGGCGCTCAGGTGAACACTGGGACCATCCAAGGAAAACAAGGATAAGGAATTATCCCACCACCAGGGAGTGCTCAATTTTATGATTGTAACAGTAAGACCCCTAGGGTCTCCTCACTGGAGAACTTTCCAAATGTCCCAATGAGACGTTTAAATGATTCCCTATAATACCCTTAATAGTATCTAATGGCCACACGATGTGAGAATCTTCTCTGAGCCTTAAACTCCCAGGAGTCTCCCCAGTATCCAACCTAAATGTTCCCACAAAATGCCCCAAACCCTTCAAAACATCCAAAAATATCTCCTACAATGCCCTGGGACATGACCTCTAAATAGAGACCCCAGTAAACTAGTGACCTGCCCTCTGATCACACCCTTCTATCTCTTGAACATCCCATGAGCCCACTCTCCTTAGAGACCCCGTGAAGAGCCAAAATGCCTTCCCCCTGGCCATGACAGGACTCTAGGGTCACCCCCAGCCCCCATGCCATTCACAAGACCCCCTCTCCCAATGACCCCACAACAACGGGCAGGGTAGTTAGTGCCCAGCGCATTTATTGAACTCGTACCTTCTGTCCTTTCCCCTGTCGCCCTTCGGGGAGGGGTACCCGCGCTTCACCTGCACCTCTCCAATCCCAACTTCTCCCCCTCCCCCCACCGCCCCCCCCCCCCGCCTGCCCGCGCACTGCGCAAGAGGAACTAAACGCGAGGTCACCGCCTCTGGCAGCAGACGTGCGCCTAAGCAGCTGAGAGAAGGAACGGGTCTGGCAGGAAAAACTGCCCAGCAACTGTGACGTCGTGGGGCCGGGCAGGACTCCATGAAAGCGATTGGCAGGATTGAATTTGGAAGGGAAAGGAATTCTGTCTTTGGAGCTTTCGCAGGGAGCAGATTGGGTGGGAGTCGTTGAGGGAGAACTTCCAGACCTCTCCGGGACTCTGCGCATCAAGGGGGGATGCGGTGTTTGGGCTCCAAGCAGTGCCCCAGCCTGAGCTTCCAAGTCACCAAGAGCCGGCATCTCTCTCCCGCCAGATATTGCTTCCAACTGGGAGGGCAGTTCAGGCTGGGACTTCCATGTCTCCCAGTGGCAGTTCCTCCAAGAGGTGGGCTAGGGTTTGGACCTGGAGCTGATGAACTTGGCCTGTGGTCAGCATCTCACAGGTCTGGTCATTACCCCAAGTGGGGCCAGAAGGCCAGCCAACAGGTCATCCAGATGCCCAAGGCTCCCCACGCCAGCGCTCGGCCATGTCTAGAGTCCTGCCCAGTCTCAGGCACTCAGGTCCAGCTCATGATGCTGGTAGATCTGCGTGGGGCCCTTGAAGCAAGCCGCAAATAGGAAGCGTCTGCCCGCTAAGGTGACGTGGGCAAAGGCACGGGGGGCCACCAAAGCAGGAGGCCCCAGCTCCTGCAGTGGCTCCAGGAGCCCCTTGTCGAGATCAAAGCGGAGCACCTGGCTGAAGGCAAAGTCGCTGCCTAGGATGGCCAGCTGGTCCCTGGCGATGAGCAGAGGCTGGAAGACGTGGGCACCCCGGGAAGGGAGCTGGTGCAGCAGGCGAAACATGGAGCCGTCCCAGCGCATGACCTGGGGAGAAGGTGGCCAGTTAGGGCCTGAGGCCTTGGGAGGGGCAGGTCTTCCTGTCATCCTGAGGGTCTAGAGAACTTGGAACGCTTGGAAACAGGCCCATTCGTCCTCAAATTCCCACAGCTGCTTAATCCTATCAGTGTGCGCCCAGCTGCTCAGGCTGCTAAGTCAGAGTTGTGAGCTGTGAGCTGACCCTGCGCTTTCCCTCGGCCCCACACTGCACGGATCAGCAAGGCTACCTGTGAGTTTTACCTACAATAGCTGTATATGCTGTCCACTCCTGTTAACGCACCTTGGCCCAGCCTCCATCCTCTCCAGCCTCCTTCCTGGGTCCTAGTTCCTGTCCTTGTCCCAGTCTGTTCCCCACCAGAGACCCTGTGAATACCCTAGTTAGAGGGGAGCCCCCTCCCCTGGCTGCACCTTGCTCTGGAAAGACAGTGCTAGAGAGGAAGGGCAGGACCCAACATCTGCATCAGGCTCAGAGGAGCCTTGTCAGGATGCGGGGGACAGGGGCTGGGGCTAAAGTCAGTCCTGGAGGGTGTCCAAGATGCAGAGCCAAATTTAGGGTGTAGAATCAGAATCTTGGGGAGTGATTTAGACAAAGATAGCCTTGAGGGGCCACAGTCTTGCAGTCATCGTTGGGATGGGATCAGAATTCAAAGGTCAGCATGTGAGGCCAGATCAGTTTATAGCGCCCCCCCATACACACACACACACACTGGGCCCAGCCTCACCATAGAGTCCCCGATGTACCGCGTCAGGCACAGGAACACATCCCCCCCAGCCTGGAAGTGACGTGTGGCATAGACATCCTCAGCCTCTGGGATGTCCGTGCGCCTCTCAAAGCGGCCACCGAACCAGTGGAAGAGCACGGGCCTCTGTGAGGCCGAGGCCAGCAGCAGGTGGGGCCGGCCGTCCAGCTCCAGGGCCTCGGCGTCCGTGTCCCGGTGCCAGGCGTGCAGGCTCTGGCGTGGGTAGAAGCCGGGCCCGTCCCGACACAGCAGTGTGGTGCTGCCAGCTTTGGAGGCATCGGCCACCACGAAGCAGGGCTGCCCGTCCAGCCAGAGGAGCTCCGCGTCGTTGGGCCTCAGCAGCCGTCGGGGGGCCAGTGCCTGCATCGGGGCCAGGCGCAGGTCGGGGCCCGGCCGTGCCCACAGCTGGGATCCTCCCCACAGTCGGGCAGCCAGCACGAAGAGGCGCGGGCCCAGCACCAGGGGCTTGCAGGACACCACGGAGGGCGCTGAGGGGGAGCAAGCAGGCTGTCAGGTCCAGGGGCAGAGGGCCGGGCAGACGGGGGACAGGGACAGGGCGAGCACTCACCCGGCAGCTCATCCTCCGTCCGGAAGCGCTGCAGGCCGTAGTCCCAGGAGAGGATCAGGCAGCGGCCAGCGAAGGGCTGGGCCAGGATGATGTGGGGCTCCCCCTGGTAGGAGAAGGACTCCACGCCCAGCGCCGACTCCCCCACCATCTGGAACCAGGACAGCTCTGGGGGCGGCAGGAGAGAGTCAGGTAGGCCCCGGGGACCCTAGGGTCCTCATTGCTGAGCCTTGATTTGCACAGCTCTGAAAGGAGGGCCCTGTTCATGGCGTTCACCCCACAGGGACATGGAGAGTGGAGTCCTCTTGTCTATGGCAGGGTTAACTCGGGCTGCGTCCTGATTTTCTAAGATGAGTGGCCCCATCAAATGATCCCTCCGAAACGGCCACTTAGTCATTCACTGGCCTTCACGACATTCCAGTGAGGTACACTCTGTCATGATCTCTAAAGATGAAGCGACGGAGGTTCAGTGGTCCAGGCAGCCGGTGGGCTGGTCAGCTGGAAGCCACATTATCCTGGCACCCCCAGGAGCACTCTCCCTGGAGGTTAGGTGTGGTCATGTCAGGAGCAGAAGCGTGATGCACACTTCATTCCCCTCCTTCTCGTGAGCTAGCACATGGAAGCGTCAAACCTGAGTTCAACCATGGAAACCAGGACAGTACCCAGGAGCTGCTGCACCCACCTGGGCAGCTCACCTCCGCTCACCTCTTCAATTCGTGGTATTTCGGGCTTTTTGTTACAACCACTTAGCTTTAATGGTATCTGACCTAGCAAGGTACTGGTCGTTAGTGGGTGCCATGCTGTGACTCTAGCATATACTACGTCACCCTACACGTCCAGATCCCAGGTGCCAAGGTGGAAGCAGTGATGCCCAGCCAAAGAGAGTTCCTATAAAAATGCCCATCAAATCATGTCCATGCCTGGGCCACATCCTCCATGGCTCCCCCTTGACCCTACTCTTTGTGCCTTTCAAAGTCCTCCATGGTGGGGCCCCTGCCATCTTTGACCTCATCTCTACTCTCTCCCTTCAGGCACCACCTGAGCCACACTGGTCTTTTGATCCTCAAACAGCTCTAGGCTGCCTCGGGGCCACCATTTATGCTGTTCCCTCTCCACGCAGCGCCCTTCCCTCCCCTTTTCCAGTAGCTAAATTCAGATCTAATGCCTCCCTCACGACTCCCTGTGTGATCAAATGTGTCATCAGTTTGTTTGCGCCATACTTTAGTGGATCTCACTAAGTATTCGTTGAATAACTGAATCAAGAGTGAACGATGGGGCTCAGTGGTACAGCGCTTGCCTAACAGGTGGGAAGCCCTGGGTTGCATCCGAGGCACTCCCTTCCTCTTCAAAAAAAAAAAATAATAATAATAATAATCGCTGAGCTCAGTCCCCTTGCTCTGTGAGTCCCACACACCACAAACATGTCTCACAGTAGATAATGTTACGATCACTGTTGTTATATTAATAGCATCTGTGTAAGGACACTTCAAATGTCCACTCCTTGAGGAAGCCCTTCCTGACTCCCGCTCAACTCTGTGTGACCCCGGCCCTGGCTCTGGACTCCTCAGTTCCCATGGCCTCGGTCCTGGCCTTATTTCTCTGACTGTGCTCCCCCATCCCACCCCAGGCCCCTCTGCCTCCGACTGCCCGTCCTGGCCCTGATCATTCTGGGCGGTCACTGTGTGGGGCTGGGCATGGGCTCTGGGAAGCCAAGACCTGGGCTGTCTTGTCCCTGCTGTGCTTTCTGCCTTGGCCGATACCCACAGAGTCACCAAAATGTATTTATGGAAAAGCAAAAGGAAAGGAAATAGAAGTGAGGGGATTGGCATATGCAGTTTTTAGCACAACAGAAAGAAAGTGTTGGGCTGGGGTGTAGCTCAGGTGGTAGAGCGCTTGCCTCGAATGACAGGCCCTGGGTTCAAGCCCCAGCACCACCACCAAAAAAAATAAAGAAAGAAAGTGTTTTACAAGTAAGTGACTTTATATTAAGGACGATGAGAGTGAACATTTGTAAGAGGCTCCTGCCCCAGGCCTTGGGTCCAGTGCTGAGCAGGCGGAGACATAGCATGGAATCCTCGCAGCAATCCTATGTCACTGTTTATTATCCCCATTCTACAGATGAGGAGACTGAGGCTCAGGGTGGTGATGCCATGTGCTCGGGGTCTTGAAGCCAGGAAATGGCAGGGCAGGGAGTGAGGTCAGCTCCTCAGGCCTGGCAGCCATTCCCCCCATCTCCTGCCTTCTCCTGGGGACCCTGCAGTCCCTCCCTCCCCACTGGGAAAGTCCCCACCTATGGCTCTGCAATTGAAGGTCTTTGGGTCGAGGTGGCGGAGCTGCATGTGAGTCAGGGCAGCGGGGCCTGCACAGGTCCCCGTCCCCACGCTGGCGTTCACGGTCGGCATCCACTGAAGCAGCCAAAGGATGCGACAGTCGCACTGGAACGGGTTCCCACGGAGGTCCCTGGTGCAAGAGGCCAGGAAGGGGCTGCGACCCTCGGAGGCCACGTACCCTGCCCCCTCCCCTGGGGTCCCCAGATGGCATGGAAAATACGTCAGAACCATTGCAACCCTTGCCAACCCAGCCCCGCCTCCACAGCGCCAGGCCCCGCCCCCAGACCCCCCACCCCCGCACCCCACACCCCCGGAACCTCACACGTGAGTCAGGGTTTCCAGGCCCCGGAACAGGAATCTGGGCAGGACCTCGAGGTGATTGTTGGCCAGGCTTCTGGAGGGGACAAAGAAGGAGCCATCCGCAGCTGCCAGGAGGCGCTGTGTCCGGGGTGGGGGTGCCGGGGTGGGGGTGCCGTGGAGGAGGGGAGCCGTGGAGGAGCGGGGTGCCATGGAGGAGGAGGGGTGCCATGGAGGGGGGTGTTGTGGAGGAGGGTGGGGTGCCGTGGAGGAGGGGGGTGCCGTGGAGGGGGTGCCGTGGAGGAGGCGGGACGGGCACGCACAGGTGTGTGAGCGAGCGGAGTCCCCGGAGCGCGTTCTTGGAGATGGAGCCGATCTCATTGTCCTCAATGAAGCTGTGGAGGGAGGCGGGATGAGGGGAGGCCCACGGGGCAGGGGACTCAGAGGCCACACGGGTGCTGCATTCTCCGCAGCACCTCGGGCAGTCCCAGGGAAAGCCTCCCCAGAAACCTGTCCCCCCTGAAGGCCTGATCCACGGTCACTGGAGCCAGCCTCACCATGGACGCTGTCGCCATTGTCACCGACAACAGCACTGGTCCCACTATCATCCCTTATGACCAGTACCAGTGCCTGCATCTCAACACCCATGCCACCATCACCATCACCTACCCTACCACCAATAACTGCCATCGTCCCCAGCACCACACAGGCCACCAATATCGCCACACACGTCCATCGTCAACGTCCATCAGGGAACTCCAGGCGGATGACACCGATGAACCTCACCAGCAACCAGGCTTCACGACCAACACCCCACATCCTGCCACCACCCTCACCAACGCCGCCTCCGTGATCCAGCATCAATACCAGCGTCGCCATTATCCCCAACACTCCGGTCACCCACCGCCAGTGTCATCGCTGTCACAGCTTGTATACATAACGACACCTCTGTCATCGGTGAAAACCCCAGTACCAACAACACTGTCATGAACACTGACACCAGCGTCCTGCTCCAAGCCACCACTGACACCAACGTCAGTGCATACTGACCAGTGCCCATGGGCCTGGTGACCGTCTCTAGCACCGCCCCGCAGGCTTTGATCATCAGTTCCACTAACAGAACCATCACTGCGAGGTTTGCCATGTTTTGTCAACAGCACTGACACTCCGTCGTCAGTGACAAGGCCACCACTTCCACTGGCGTCAGCAACGGCATCCCTCCCTTTAGTATGGCCATCACGCTGTCGCCAACTCCTTACTGGGAGCTGTTTCCAGCTCATTTTAAACATTTCCTCCCGCTGGTATCCTCCCCAGGTGCCCGAGAGTCAGGAGGGGGCCAGAAACCGAGCCTGGCTATCTAGGCGCTTTGCGGATCTGAAGCACAGAGAGGTGAGGTGAGCAGCCCGAGACGACACAGCTGATCTGGAGCCCTCACACGGCCTCAGGAGCAGGTCTGAGGGCCCTTGTCCAGACACCTCCACTGCAGACCCACAGTCCCTACCGCCTCTGACTCTGGGCGCCACCAGAAGCCCCTTCTCCTCCTCCCAGGCCACCTGCCCCCAGCCCGGCCTCACTCACAGGTACTGCAGGTGGGACAACCCGGCAAATGCGTCGTCCTCGATCACAGAGAAGGAGTTGGACGTGAAGAGGCTGCAGGGGGCGAGAAGGCGGTTGCCAGGGTTCAGGACCCCTCGCTGATGAGGACCCCTCTCTGACATTTTGGCCTTATCCCCCTCCATTAGCCCCATCAGGCACAGGAACACTCACATGCACGTGGGGGACTATGTGCAGGGACAGAGGGATTCTGACAGGGACACACGGGTGCGCACACACTCTCTCCTGTGCATGGACACCCTCATGGCCACATGTGCCCACACCCACACGCACGTGCAAGACGCCCACTCCCTCCCTGCCGCTCGGCCAGGCCCACTCACAGCAGGTGCAGGGACGGCACCCTCAGGAAGCTGCCGGCCTTCAGCTGGGTGACTCCAGTCCTCACGAGTGAGCTGGGGACGTGGCAGTGGCAGTGAGGAGAAAACCACTCCGGCGCTCTGGTCCCCAACCCAGATCCCACTGCTGCCCCACGCCCTGGCCTGCACCTGACCCCGGGTGCGCTTCCCCTTTGGGTGGCGAGGGTCCTGGCAAGCGCTCAGCCCAGTCCCTGGCCACCCCCCCTTCCAGGTCCCCATACACCTCCTGCCCCATCCCAGGTCCCAGCAGCCCCTGGGCAGGCATCCCGACAGCCTCTGCTGCCCAGGATCAGGTGGGCCCCCGCCTACCCCGCCTGCCCCTGGAGGCCCAGGATCCGGCGCCCACCTTCAGGCCCACAGAGGGCCCGACACTCACAGTGACAGCAGCGTCGGGGAGAAGCTCTCTGGCAGGTCCTGGGAGCCCTCACACAGGGCACTGTCTTTGGAGCAGGAGCAGCGTGGAGGACACTTGCCCTTTGGGGGCCTCCAGGCCACCCCCACCCCCGGCCCAGCCAGCAGCAGCAGCAGCAGCAGCAGGATGCCCGAGCGTCCCATGCCCCCTGCCCCCAGCCGAGGCACCACTTGTCTTGCAGCCAGCCTGGCCCAGGCAACTACATCTCCTCTGCCAGAGGCCCCTGCAGCTGCCTGCTGGGCTCCGCACCCTGACCTCGCTCTGCGCCCTCGTCCTCGGTCCCTCGGCCGGCCCTTGTCCCTGTGTCCTGTGGTCTCTGACTTTCTGTGACTCTTTCTGCCTCTCCCTGTCTTTGTCTGTATCAGTCCATTGCCCACTTCCGTCCCTCCTTATGTCTTTGTGTGTCTGTCTGTCTGTCTCTGCAGGGCCCTGTCTTTCGGGTGGCCTATTGTCCCTCTGCCTGCTCCCTGCTTCTCCCTGAAGGTTTGGGGAAGGGATATGCCGAGCAGGGTAGGGAGAAGGAGGGGGTCAGAGGCCATAGGAAGAGCGGCCTGGGGAAGGGACTGAAAGGCCTTTGGGAGGGGGTGGGGCCACCAAGGATGGAGCTGCCCTGGCCACTCCCAGCCAGCCCCCTCCCCAGAATCCCCTACTCAGCCTCACCCAGGGACTGTGAGGAGGATGTCACCCGGGTGGGGACTGAATGACCCGGCAGACTGGAGGGGGAGTGGAGGACAGGCCACTCCTGAGAGCTGGGGGAGGTCCTGGCCACTCCCAGCCAGCCCCCTTCTGGCCCCAGGAGGGCGTGGTGGTCCCTGTCACTGAGGCCCAGGGGCAGCTCAGGTCCAGCTGCGCCCTCTGGTGGCCACACTTGGTAGGACAGTTGCCTTATCCCAAACCCAAGACCTCCCTGCCTTCCCCCCGCCCCCGGAAATTAACCCTTTAGATACCCACCACCATTCCAGGCAGAGACTTGACCCATGGACATAACGAGGACAATGCCACCTCCTTTTAACACTTACTCTGCAACTAACCTCAACCTAAGAGTCCGTCTACTACTTTCATCTCGCCCCAGGCCTCTGGGGTCAGTGCACAGCTAGAGGAACTGAGGACAGCGCTCAAGCACCTAAGCTCTGGGTGTCCAAGGCAGAGGCCGGGCCAGGAGTCCAGCCCAGCTGGCAGCTGGCTCCATGTTGGCTTCTGTCTTCAGAGATCCAAATTCATGGGCATGTGGATAACGGACTGTTTTAATTCGGACTAAGCTTTTAGTGATGTGGATAGAGTCTGTCCACTGGTAAAGATTCATGAACGATACCTAAGGGGACATAGCAGCGGTGTTTACTGAGCACTTACTACGTGCCATGCCTTCCATGGTTTGACTCAGCTCTCCCCGTAACCCTGTGAGGTGGGCAGCTTGGCTATCCCCACTTTACAGACAGGAAGACTGACCAACAGAGAGGGTGAGAGATTAGTTTCATGGTGCCAGTCGGCCCTAAGCCTGACCACCAGTCTGTACCACCGCCTTGCCTAGACCAGGAGACTCACGCTCCTGACGGAGGAACAGACTTCCTCTCTTGCCCCTGGGGGACGCACCCAGCAGTCTTGTTGAAGGACAGGGGCCTCGACAGCACCTGCCTAAGGTCACACAGTCCCCTGTGGCCTCGGGGCCAGTCAGTTCACCTCCCAGCTCCTCAATTCTCCCACCTGTCAAGTGGGAACATTCAGGACACCCACTTCCAACATGAGGAGAGGACTCAGTGAGAAGACGGAGGCCACTCACCCTCCAGGGCTCAGCTCAAGGTGGGCGCCCCACAGTGGTGCAGGCTTGGGGAGGAACTCTGGCTCCGTCTTGGTCCTGCAAATATGCTAACCCTCTCGACCGGGACTTGGAAAGTGCAGATAAAGAGCTTGGTGCCAGGGACACACAGGGGACAAAGGCAGGCCTGCACCCACACACAGTGTGCCAGCCCAGCTGGGCTCTCACTTCACTTTAAGACGAGAAGAAGTGACATTGGCAACAATAACAACAGCTAACTGTTTTTGTTAATCACTTCCTATGTGCCCGGCTTTTTCTCATTGTTCTACATGGTTATCCCAACCTCCCTCTGACATGAATCTTATTATAGCCACAGAGAGGTTAAGTCATTTGCCCAATATCACACAGCTAGAAAGTGTCAAGGGAAGGAAGGAGAGAGGGAAGCTGGACTGGCCAGGAGTGGGCCAGGTACCCGTCCCTATTGCCCCTTGCTCGCCTGTCCCTCCTCCTCGGTGCTGCATAAACACCAGGGTTATCATTAACCAGGGCCTGGGATGCAGGGCCACGGGGGCAGAGGCTAAGAGGGCTAACAGGGCTGAGGGAGCCTTTTGAAGTCTCCTGGGTCCTCTGAAGCCAGGGGTGTGTGTATGTGTGTGTGAACACTCACGTGCGTGTGTCAGGGCTACACCTGTGCTGGGTGCAAGCACATGCTCCTGTCCTGCCGAGCCTGGTGGGGTCCCCGCTGGTGTCTGACTGCTTGAGGGTAGGGGCGTTTCTGTCCTCAGCCGCCAGGGGTCCTCAGGAGAATTAGCTCCACCGCCTTGGTTTTCTTAATCTGTGAAGTGGAGTTGAAGATGAGACATGTCAGGTCCAGAAACCTCTGAGCCTGCAGAGAAGGTTACGTGGACGACCTTAGTGATTTCACCATTTTGTATGTGGGAAATTGAGGCAAAGAGAGGTCATGAGGGAGGCCCAAAGTCACACAGCTAGGAGTGCAGCCTAGACCTGACTCCAGGTTTCTCTGTCCCCAGGGTCTGTGAACCTGGCCTGCCCATGAGGACACCAGCGGACATGCTCTCAGGGAAAGGACAGTTCAGGATGAAGCACATGACTGTGGTTTTGGAGTATGTGAGCACAGCGTGTCTGCAAACACGCAGAGCCAGCAGTCCACCCTATAGCCCCTGCGTGGGCTGTGCACACTGTGTGCATCTGTGCTGGCCACGTGGAGGAGTGGCTGGCCGTACGGCGGGTCCTTGGCCATCTGCTTCCCTGTGTGCCCATGAAAATGAGGTGTGTGTGGACCCAAGTCTATGGGCCTTCAGGTCTTGGAGACGGCGTGGGAGTGCCGGGTGTGTGTGTCCTTTGAATGAGGTTACGAGTGCTGTGTGTGTGTGCTGGTGTGTCACTGTAAGGCCATTTGGGAGAATGTCCTCACAAGGTGCGGATCTCTGTTTCCCTTTGTGCCAGCGAACAGAGGTGTGACTGTGTCTTGACTCTGTCTCTTTGCGGGTGTCACGTGGATGGTGTACATCTGCGCCCATGTTTGTTGGGGTGTTCAGGGGTGGCTGTAGGAGGTGCTGGCTGGGGTGTGTGTCTGTGGGTTTCTCCGTGGCTGTGTGTCGTGTGGGGTGTGCATCCCGGAGCAGCTCACAGTCGCCAGCACACAGCACCCACACCCGCACTCACAAACATGCAAGCAAAGCCCCGCCTCCACCGTCCTGTGGCACTGTCAGGGACAATACAGGCGCTGGGTCAGGGGGCACAGGCTCCTAAGCACTGGGACTGAGTGACCCTAGTCCCCGCTGGGCCCGATTCCCAGGAAGCAGCACAGAGATCCCTCTCCCGCCCCAGCTCTGTGCCAGAGCTCCATGCCACATGTGAATGTGTGTACGCATGTGTGTGTGCATGTGTGTCTGTGTCTGTGAGCCCGTGCAGTCCCCACGCCGGCCGCCTGCTGCTCCCTCCTCTGAGTTGAGAGAGTTAACCTAGCGGCCAGCGCGGTCTGGGCTGGGGGCCGCCCCCTGGCCCCCCTCCAGCCCCGGCTCCAGTTACAGCCGCTGGCTGGGGAGGGGAGGGCGGGGTGGGGCCAGGAGGGGAGCCTGCGGGGGGCGGAGCGTCCAGCTCTGGGCCCGGGGGTCCAAAGTGCTCAGCCCCCAGGGCACAGCCGGACATTTGGGGGCCTTCTTTCAGCAGGGGACAGCCTGATTGGGGTGAGCGCCCCCCACCCCTCCCCTCCAGATGTCTTCACACTCCCGCCGGGCGGCCTATTTTGGGAGCAGGAGTGGCCAGCCGGGTGGCTTCCCAGGCAGGCCTGACCCCAGAGGGAGGAGAGTGTGGGGACAGTGGGGTTCCGCAGGCTGGGAGTCAGGGTGCGACTCCTCCCCCTGCCGCATGAGCCCCCTGGCTGGGTGTGGCGTCTGCTTGGAACACTGTCGGGGGCCCTGGGGGCCTGGAGGGGGGGGCTGAGGTTGTCTACACCCCACATTCTTCCCACCAGCAGCTGGGAGGGTGTTGTCCATCTCCAGGGCAGCACCACCCACCGTGGGCGCGTGTATGTGCGCCTGTGTGTGTGTGTGTCCCTGCCCCTGGTCGCTGTCTTCTCTCAGGCCCACTAGCTTGGGCCTCATGTCACTTGTCTGGTGTTGTCCGGTTATGAAAGATGTCACCCAGGGGCGGGTGGAACGGGTGTTTCTCCCTCTTCTGCTGGTTTCCAGGAGAGGACAAGGGGTGGCCTTACTCTGTGGCGATGTGGCCGCCAGGCCTCGCCCCACCAGGACTATGCATGACCCCCAAGTGGGGGGGTGGAAGGCGGTTTCCATGGTGGCCTTGTGAGGCGGATTCTTCCAGGGTGAAGTGGGAGATATTTATACCCAGGGTCAGGCTGAGAGCGGACAGAGCCGGCGGGCGGGCAGGCGCAGGGGGCAGGGACGCTGGCTGGGCTCGTTCTGGAGGCCGTGGTGCGCAGGCAGGTGGGACTGGGGTGTGTCCCGCTGTCTTGCAGAGTGTCTGTCTCTCCACCTGGGTGAGGCCGCATCCTGCCTCCCCTGTGAGGGTAGATTTGAGGAATCTGGGGCCAGCTGCGGGGAGGCAGAGGCCCGTGGGAGACCTGTGGCTCTGCCCTTGCTGGGTTGGGCTCTGTTTGTGTAAGCCGCTTTGGTGGCACGGCCTGGCCCGGTGAAGCAGGGGGTGCCACTAAGCCAGCCGACTGACACTTTTGTGATGAAGTCCCTGATGGTCTCTGACTTAACCCTGTGGGTTCAGGCCCCCCTATGGGGAGGACGAGGGTACACATTTCCTGGCCCTTTTGTGCCCCCAGGACAATGGCATCTGTCGGCCACATCTTGGTTCTCTGCGTGGGTCTTCTTGCCAGAGCCAATGCAGGTGAGTCACAGGGGCAGCCCACTGCTCACCCCAGTCTCTCGAATGACACGGGTGGCAGAAACCTAGAGAAAAACAAGTGGGAGACCCCTACCTAAATGGACTCAGCTGGAGTTCCAGGAAACTGGGGATCTCCCGCATGGGGTCCAGTCACAGGCTGGCATTGGAGGAAGGGAGAGGATGGACACCCCAGGTCAGGCAAAGGTGGGGAGGGATGGGGGTTGGCTCCCCCCCAGATTGACAGGCTGTAGTACAGGGGGTGTTGGGGCAGCGACTGAAACCCCCTGCCCAGTACAGTACAGAGGGGGTGGGTGTCTAGGGTCCAGAGTGGGTGGGCAGTCTGCCCGGGTCCAACAGCCCCCCAACTCTCAGCCCAGGAAGGTGGAGCCCCCACAGGGTCTTTTGACGCCTCTCCCGGTTCAGAGTCCTGGGAAGCATCCAAACCCGGATCTCTCTCTCTCTTTCCAGAAGCGCCACAGGAACACGACCCATTCACCTATGGTGAGGGGCGGCATCTATTCCGGGAGTCAGAGGGCTGCCGGGGGGTGCCTGTCCTCCCTGCGCCTCTCCCTGGCTCTGTGGGATCCCTCTCCGGGTCTCAGGCCCCTCCGCTGCTGCCTCCTGCCCTTTCTCCCCTCCCTGTCCCACTCCTCTTCTCCTTCCTCCTCCCTGCCCTGCCCCCTGCTCTCCTTCTCTCTCCCCGCTCTTCTCCCCCGGCCCTCACCCTGCACCTTGCCGCCCTCAGACTACCAATCCCTGCGGATCGGAGGCCTCACCATCGCCGTAATCCTCTTCATCCTGGGCATCCTCATTATTCTCAGTGAGTGCTGCGCCTCGCCCCGCCCACGCCCCGCCCCGACCCCGCCCCTGCCTGCGCGGCCCCGCCCCTCACCCGGGCGAGCTGCAGTCAGAACGCGGCTGGGCTGGGCGCCCCGCGTGGGGGGACGCAATCTCAGCCTCTGCGACCCTGTCCCCACCCCCACAGGCAAGAGATGCCGATGCAAGTTCAACCAGCAACAGAGGTAAGAAGGCCCTCCCAGCCCCCACTCGCCCCTCGCCTGCTCTTAGAGGGGCGCTGGGGGTGGCAAGTCCTGCCAACCCGAAGCCAGGAACCCCTCAAAGAATATGTGTGAAGCACCTTCCATGTGCCAAGCCCCAAACCTGGGACCAAGCGATGAGTAAACGTCCTGACTTGCTTGGTCAAGCTCCCGGCCCAGCAGTGAAGGCGGTGGCGGTGGTTCCAAGAGCCCCACCGATTAAAATCACAAGCACGATATCAAAAGTGCTGATAGAGAGCGAGCCGCGGTGAAATGAGATCATCTCACACGGCGGCCCAGTTTAGCTCAGAGTCTTATTCCTTGCGCTTTGATTCATCTTTAAATAAAAAGTTTAAAGCACAACCAACATAGGAATACCATGGAGCGAACACCTTCGTGTTAACACAATGATCCATGTCACTATAAGTAATAACGAATACGCGTTGACTGTTACACCACGTGCCAGACGCTCTTTCCTTGCATATTATTTTATTTGGCCCTCATACCACCTCTTCAGGTAGGCGCTGTTACCAGCCCCCATTGTACAGATGATTAAACCGAGGTATGGTGAGATAAAGTCACTTATTCAGGATCACTCACTGGGAGATGAGGATTCTGGGTTTTCCAACTCAGATCACCTCCTGGCGGTCTACCAAGTTCCTCTGACCACCCCTCCCCCGCATCCCCGGTGGTACTCACTGTTACCTGTTTGGACGGCCTTCTGCCACACAAACTGCTCCCGGGTGCTCCTCCTTTTCGGGGGCGTACCCCGAGCGCGCTCGTTGGGGTACGTGGGACTCCGTGCACCAGTCTGGGAGATGAGGCCTTCATTGGGGGCTTTCTGGAAGCCACTGCCTCCCCTTTTCCATCCCGTGTGCCCCCCACCCCCTGCTCTCCCTTCCCAGAACTGGGGAACCCGATGAAGAGGAGGGAACTTTCCGCAGCTCCATCCGCCGTGAGTTTGGGGAGACTGCGGGTGTTTGGGGGTGAGAGCTGGTTCCAAGAGCCGTTTTCCTGGCCCTCCCTGGCAGCGTGAAGGGAGAACTTGAGCTGAAGCCAGTGGGCAGGGAGTTGCCCTTCCTCCGCAGGGACGCCCCTCCTGACACCCCAACTTTCTCTGTCCCCGTCAGGTCTGTCCACCCGCAGGCGGTAGAAACACCTGGTGCCATGGAACTCGGCCAGGTCCTGCAGCGCCGCCTGGGCTCTGGGAGGGGCACGGGAGGGAGGAAGAGGGGGTGATGTACCAGCCTGGGCAGGTGGCTAAGAGGGGGAGGAGGAGAGGGCTTGAGGTCCTTCCTCGCCTCTCACCCTTTTCACCCCACAGGATTCCCCTGGCACCTGATGCGTCCCACCCACCTCCTGCTCACCTGCCACCTAGACTGCCCCCTTTCCCAGCCCTGCCCCACTGAGTCCCCGAGCCTCTCAGATTTCCAATAAAACGTGCTTTTCTCTCTTGACGGCGCTTTGTTGATCTGTCAGTCCCTCTGCGCCGAAGCCTGGGAGCCCCCTTGGCCCCGGCAGGGGGCGCCCCCACCCTTGGGGAAGGGGCGGGGACGACGGCAGTGGGCGGGGGCGGGGGCGGGGGTGGCCTGGACGGGGGCGGGCTCCCCGGGCCCCCATTGGCTACAGGCCCCCCCAACACCAGGGCTCCCCCCATCTCCCCCCCACATCAGCCGGTCCTGCTTCCAGCTGCTGCAGCCGTGTCCTCGCTGCCTCAGCATCCAGCAGCCCCCTGCTCTGGCTCAGCATGGCGACCCCAACCCAGACCCCCACAAACGGTGAGCGTCGCCCCAGGGAGTGGGCGCCGGGGAGGCTCCGGGATCTGAGAGCTTAGGAGAGAGGATGTGGGAAGATTCCGGCGCTGAAAGGGAAAGGAGCGAAGAGGGGATGGGCGGAGGCCCCTGTCGCGCACCCCTTGGCCCTCCTTGTGGTGTCTCGGACACCTGCTCCCCTGCGATATCGTCCTTGTGTGGGACCTACGATTAGAGAGTGCCAATCCCCGGAGAAAGGATGCTCGGACCGGTTGCTATGGCAACTGGGTGACTGGTCCAGCACAGTGGTGGAAGCAGACGAGAAGAGATGGGCTTTGAGGGTGGGAAGCAGCAGGTCTGTGGCCAGGGAGGTTCTGGAAGATTTCAGGACCCTGGGTTGGCAGGGAGAAAGGGTCCATGTCCCTTTTCTTTCCAGCACCGTCTCCTGCCATCGGTGTTTCCTGAAATTCCTGACAGGCAGGTTCAGAGGGAAGGAGGGTCAGCTGAAAAAGAGAGAAGGAAAGGGGGAAATTGATCTGAGATTGAACCTAAAACAGATAGAAGAGACACAGAGTCAGAGACATGGGGGGACCGGCAGATAGGTGCGAGGCTCTGAGAGACTCAGGGAGAATGCAGGAAAAAGAGAGGGAGAGGAAGTCAGAGAGACACAGAGATAGACGGATGGAGACAGCCATGCACAGGGACTCGAGACACCGAGCCACAGGCAGAGGAATAGAAAGGGGGGCAGCATAGGGTGGGGCTGCAGCCACTGCAGTGAACCCCAAGGGTGGGACTAGGGTGAGGGGACCCTCCTTCCCAGCGCGCACCTACTTGTGGTTTCCATCCTCGGAGGTGCACATCGTTGTCCCCCCACACCCATGTCCCCCCACACCGTGCAGCCGCGCACAGTTACATTTCACACCCGTTAACCCAGATATGCTCCCACTTAAACGCGTCCTCACTCCAGCCCCCAGCAAACCCCCTGCTGAGCCACGGTCTGCAGAAGAGCAAGGCGGGGGGGGGGGGTGCTTTAGTGGGGGAGGGGACCGGGGAAGTGTTTCCAGTACCGAAGGCAGGGCGGAGGCGGAGGAGCCCCTGGCGGTGAAGGGAACCCCAATTCCACCCGGTTCTCTCCTTCCCTTCCCCCCTTTCCCATCAGGCAGGGGCTGCTGCGCTGAGCCATATCTGCAGAATCTGAAGCAGGGCGGGGGGGGGGGGGGGGCTGCAGGGGCGGGAGCCACCCTAGGGAGAGGGGGCGGGGCTGAGCCAGCAAGTCTGGCGGGAGCCCAGGGTTTCTTTTTGCAGAGGTGGCGGTTAGCAGGATCGATGGCAGCAGACGGGCAGAGGTGGGAGGGCAGACGCCTCAACACCCTCCCCCTTCCCCCCCTCCCCCGCCCGCCGGTCACAGCAAGAGAGGGGACCACAGGTCTCCGGAATTCCCTGGGGAGGAAAAACCCCCCGCTGTGTATTGCAAACTGCTTGAGGAAATGAATTAATGAATTGCTGGGGAGAGCAGGGGGAGGGAGAGGAGTCTCTTCCCACTCTGTCAGAGAAAAGGAAGGAGAATTAGGGGCAACAGAAAAGGGAGATGTGTGAGCACAACTGAGAGGGACCCTCAACTTGGCCAGCAGCCAGCCCTGCAGGGGCATTAAAGGGAGATGCAAAGGAGGAGAGGGAGTTAAAATTTGGCCCATCCTCCAAGCCTCACACAGGACCTCAGCCAGCCTGGAGGACCCGGACCCATCACCTCTCAAGATGCCCCTGTTGCCATAGCAACCACCTCCTTCCTGATCTCTCCTTGGCAACTGGCCAGGAGTAGTGCACATTCCTTCTCCGTCTCCTGGCTCCACCCTGAGCCCAGCCACACCCTGGGGAACCAGATTGCTGGGCCAGCAGGATCCAGTCAAGGATCTTCTGCATGAAGCACTGTGCACTCAGGTGCAAAGCAAAGAGGATTTGGGGACAGATGCTCACCCAAAGGGTCCCTGAGCACTTTGGAGGAGGATGCTTGGAAAACTGGGAGACAAAAGAAGATAATCCAACTGTTCCACCTTGATGCAGACTCCTGCAGCCTAGGAGGGCCTGACATTCCTTCATTTGTTTCAGAAAACTTCTTTTAGAGCCTTTCGTGCCAGGATTAACAGCAGAGATGAGCTAAACAAATCGACTCTCTCTGGTCCAGGAGCTAAAGTGACTAAAGGTGACTAAAACACTGTGTCTTGATGGGGACACTTTGAAGTACCACCTTCCAGATTTTTGACTTATTCAAATGTTCCCCACAGTGCTATTTATTTAATATTTTTTCCCTTGGAAGGATTCACTTTTTAAAAAAATTAATTAGCATCATTTTATATCATCACCACAAATGGAAAATGAATTTTTTTTTCTCTAAATGGAGGGTAAACCTACAAACAATCTAAAGCAAGTGACATCGCTTTTCTGGGTCCAGTGTCTCCTTTTTGTGAAATGGAGACGAAGATAGCACCTGTATGGGTGAGTTCCTGCCAAGATTAAATGTGTCAACATCTGTAAAGGGCTTAGAAGTGGCTCTGGCTTGGAGTTAGTGCTATCCACTTCTGACTAGATCGATAAATAAAAGGAGAAAACTTGATAATGTCACAAAATTCTACTAGATATTATTATTACCTGACAAAGACTCTGAGCACAGTTTTGTTTTCTCTTGGGTAAGAGGGGGATTAACAAGGTTTGATAGGCAATTAAAGCCACATCAGCACCAATGAAGATTCCCTCCTTGGAGACTAGAAGAGACCTGGAAGGAGCAAACTTACACACTGTGTCAGGGTCTTGCCTCTGTTTCCTGTACCCGTCACTTTAGGCAACAGCTTGCTTTGATAAAAAGCAGTACCAAAGTGTCAGCAGATGGTGACGGTGATGATCATCTGCTGAGATTTTTATTTCTCACTTGTGCTCCATGTCCATCACAGGTTGACCGGGGTGGAGGGCATTTTGTACTCACCTAAGAAAACTAGAGCAGCCACTACTATCTTGAACATTCAGGTCCCCAGGCCACAGGCAAACCAGAGGCCATTGAAATGTTCCAGCCTACAAGTGACACTTCCGCTCACAGTTCATGGGCCAGAATTCATCCCACGGCTCCAGCCAACCTCAAGGGAGACATCCTTCCCTGTCCCTTCAAAGGGGGAAAAGAACACTCCTGACATTGCCTGACGTACCCCTGGCCCCCTTCCCTAGTGGCACACACGCTGCAGAATTCTGCTCCAGGAGGGGCCATCAGGATGGAAATGGAAAGATGTTCTGAGCCCCCCCCCCCCCCAGGGGAATATGGTCTGGGACAGGGAGATGGAGAGGGAAAGGCAGATTCCCATCCCCACGGTAACATCTCTGAAGTCAGGGCAAGTCTTCTAACCAAGGCGCACGCTTCCTGTGGTAGAGATCCATAGGCATACTCGTCCTGGGACACTATCACAAAATCGACTTTGGATTGTAAACTGGCTGGTGTCTTAAGTGATACAGAATAACAACGACATAGCTCCCTGTAATGGATTTGGTGTCAGGAGCCAGGAGATGAGGACCATAGCTGTAGCACCTGCCCTTGGGAGCGCTCAGATGACTGGGAAGTTGTAGGCAGTGTGCAGGGGAAGCTGATAGCTCAGTGGTCCGCCAGTGGCATGCTCAACCCTTGGCGTCATATTTAAATGGGAGTGTGTGTATTTTTCGGGGAGTGAGTCCATAGCTTGCCCCAGACCTCCATAGGGATCTAGGACTGCGACAGCCATGTACAGTTGGGTGGATGGTACACTGCACAGGGGATGGTACCAAACGATGGAATGAGTGGGGGTTGGAATCTATCCTATGCCCCATTCTTCAGGCCTGTGTCCTGCCCTGGAGCTACATAATCCAGAACAAGGGACCTTTTCATCTAATTTCCACTCAGAAACCATTAGACCAATGGCCCCAACGAGGTCCTGGAAAATGTTGAGGAACAAGCGTTGAAATACTTTCCCCCTCTTCCTTCCCACAGTTCCGGAGGAACCCGACCCATTTTATTATGGTGAGTGCCGGATTTTTTAATAGTGGTACCCCAGGGCTGGATGGAGGGGTGGCTGCGTGTTCCCATAGCCAGCTGGCTTCATCCATGGCTCTGTGGTTCATGGGCTACCAACCCATGTGACCACGCGGGTACAGTTCACATCAGCTGGGTTTGTGGAGAGCAGAACCAGATTAGGGTGGTTCTGAGTCTCCTTCAGGCTTCGGCAGGACTCTGGGCTGGTACCTCGAAGTTATCAGAGCAGCAGACACGGGAAGTCTTCACAGTAACGACTCAGTCCAGGTCACCTGGATCAGACTCTCCTCTCCCTACTGTGTGGCTTTGCCTCCCTGAGCCCTTCTGTAAACAGGAGATAGTAATAACTCCCACCTGCGTGGGCTATGGGAGGGATTCACCTGGACAATCATCCTGATGGCACTGGGGCACAAAGAAGTCACCCCCAGGTCTGGCAGGCCTGGCTCCAGTTTCCTTTCTGTATACCCTCCTGATCCCCTCCCCCTGCCATTTTTGCTGTTCCTCCAATATGTCAATTTCCTTCTCACCACAGGGCCTTTGCATGTACTGGTCCTTCTGCCAGGAGTACTCCTCCCCTAGCTCTCCACATAGCTGGCCAAGTCCCCTTCCCTTTTTCTGGCCTCAGATCAAATAATGACTGCTCCATAGGACAGGCCTCCTCTGACTCCCTGGCAGAAGGAGCCACACCACCCCTGGCCATGACTTGGATTCTTACTGGATGGTTTTGTTTGGTTGGTTCATTGATGAGTGCTTAATCACAGCATGAGCGTCCCCTGCTGGAGGGCAGAGGCCTGGCCGCTGCAGGGATGGACCAGGGGCCCCACAAATTCACACTTTAGGCAATATTTGCTGGTTACTGGCTCTGTGTGGGCAATGTTCCAAGCCCTTGGAGGACTGCAGTGAGCAATACAGCCAAGGTTTCCTGCCCTCCTTGACCCTGCCCTCCGTGGGAGGGAGACAGATACTCAAAAATCAAAGTTATTTTTCAGACAAGAATGTAAAGCCAGAGTGTTTCTTACAGAGGGAAACAAGAGTTCTGTCATTTACTAGAAAGGGTAGAGGAGAGGCTGGGGAAATTCTAAACAGGACAACCAGAGGTTTCACTGACGGTCCTGAAGCTCAGAGGGAGGAAGCCCTGTGGATATTCAGAGGGAGGGTTTTTCAGTAGGAACAGCAAGTGTAAAGGCCCTGAGGCAGGACAACTGGATCTACTCCAGGAGCTACAGGGAAGCCAGCATGGCGGGGTGAAGAACTGCTGGGGAGAGTTGGGGGAGGTGAGCCCTGAGGGGGGGCAAGGATGGGATTATGCAGGTCTCCAGGGCTGTGGTGCGAGCCTTGGCTTTTACCTGGAGAGCCCTGGGGGCCAGGGGAAGGCTGAGGAGAGCTGGGATCTGACTCTGTGCCTGTGGGTGGGGTGGGGGCAGAGAGAAGGCGACGCAGAGGGTGAGGGCAGGAGAGGAGAGGAGGGGAGGGAGGCCCAGGGGAGCTCCCCAAGCCCATGCTCTGTGTCCCCCCAACCTCCTGGAGGAGCGTCCAGCACCCCCAGGTTCCAGGCCCCTGGCTGGGCGGCCTAAATCCAGGCCCGAGGCCCCGGGGCTGGGGTGCGGCCCTGCCTGCCCTGACATCCCGGCGTCTCCCCTAGACTACGCCACCGTGCAGACCGTGGGCATGACTCTGGCCACCATCATGTTCGTGCTGGGCATCATCATCATCCTCAGTAAGTCTGTCCTCCGTGGGCTGCCTGCTGCCCCGGGTTGGCCTTTGTCCCCATCCTTATGTCCTGTGTCCTGTGTCGCTCCCTCTCCTAACAGGCAAGAAGGTGAAGTGCAGGAAGGCGGACTCCAGGTCGGAGAGGTCTGGCCCCCGGCGGGTGGGCGTGGCGTGCGGGGGCGTGGCAGGCTGGTGGGCGTGGCAGGCGGGGCGTGACTGGCGGGCGTGGCGTGGCAGGCTGGTGGGCGGGGCGGGAGAGGGCGTGGCCGAGGCCTGGGGTCTGCCCTCACTGAGGCCGGGCTGCAGGTCCTCCTCACGCTCCTCCCTCTCCTTTTGCCTCCACAGCCCAACATGCAAATCCTGTAAGTCGGAGCTCCCCTCCTCAGGTGAGGCCGCGGGAGGCTGTTGAGTGACAGCAGCCAGGGAAGTCCTTGCAAGGTCCGGGGGTGGGGCCTGGTGGTTGCACCTGGGACAGTCCCATGGGAGACTAGGTCTCTGAGATGGCAGATGCTAAACCACAGGGGTCCGTGGGACTCCCTGTGTCCTAAAGGGGCCACAAAAAACTGCCAGAAACAAATGCATACGTCCCTCAAAGCAAGGAGGAGCTCATTTCCCAGGGAAGAAAGCCACACCCGCCAAGAGAGGAACCCCAGGTGGGGGAGGATTTCAGGCCATAGACATGAAGAAAGTCAGAGCACAGGGAAGATAAGAGAATAGAATGCCTTCCAGACTTACTTGTTCAGCTGGGCAGACCTAGGATGAAATGACTCAGGAAAAGATGGGAAAGGAAGGAAAAAGGAGGGAGGAGAGAGGATGGGTTTGGGAATAATTGTATCAAAATGACAAAAAGAGCTGTGGAGGTGCGTGGCACTAGCCTGCAATCCCAGCAGCTTAGGAGGCTCAGGCAGGAGGATCGAAAGTTAGAGGCCAGCCTCAGCAGCTTAGCAAGGCCCTAGGCAACTTAGTGAGACCCTGTCTCAAAATGAAAATAAATAAATAAAAAGGGCTGGGGAGGTGGCTCAGTGGTTAAGCACCCGTGGTTTCAATTCCCAGTACAAAAAAAAAAAAAGAAAAGAAAAATTCATTGGGGAAAAAAATAAAAAAGACCTGTGGGATTGGGCACATGAGGCTGAAGGAGAAAGGCGGATGGAAGAGGGGTAAATCATGAAGAGGATGGAGGCATCCGAGGGTGTGGGGAGTCAGGAAGGGGGAGTATAGGAAGGAGTAGGAGATGAGGGGGAGGCTCCAGGGGAAGAGAGAGAGAAGTGGAGGCTGGAGGCTGGAGGCTGGAGGCGGGGTGCCCTGAGTAGAGGTGGATGGAAGGTGGAAGGGGAGATGGGGAGGGGTGGAGGATGCAGAGGGAGATAAACATGCAGATGGAAGAGTGTGACCCCTTGGGGTGTTAATTTTAATTATGTAAAAATATCTTGACCTGTTTTTAGTGGAATTGCGTCCTTTCCAGGGACTGTTAAAAAAAAAATCAGAGCTGGGAATCTCTCTGCCTCTTAGAAAATTCTTAGAACTAAAAGAAGGGGAGAGGGTTGGAAGATCCCGTCGGGGGGGGGGGGGGAGTTATTGCGGGTAGGATTTCATGCCTGTTTCATGTTCTGTTAATGATACTTAAGAGCATCGGTGGCCTGCTCTGTGGACACCGGGTGGGCGCAGGGTGTCTGGTCCTGGTACCTGGGGAATAATGTAAGAATCCTGCAGGACACTGACCCGGAGTAGGTGGGAACTGGGGACATTCCTGTTGCATCCAAATGTTGGGGATGCGGGGTACAGGAGCGGAGCGAGCGTGTAGGAGGAGAATGGGGGTGTAGAAGGGGTGGGACTCCCTGCTGGCAGAGGGACTCCCCCTAAAAGCCCAGGTTAGCTTTGACAGCCACGAAGGTGTCCCCATAGGGATCAGATATTAGGGTGGGGGGGGGGAGGGGCGGGGGTGCCAGGTCGGGGTGAGAATCCTGGGGGTCTGACTTCCATGGTGACGGTCGATCGGAGCCCCCTGGCGCTGGCCGTGGGAAGGGTGACCGCCCCCCCACCCCGTCTACACTCGCTGCGACCCCCTGTCCCCCTGCCCACTCCCGGCTAACGCGGCTCCTCCTCTTCCCAGCCCCTGGCGGCGGCGGCGTGTAAGAGCAGCTCCAGGAGCCTCCACAGCTGTCCCTGCCTGCGCGCGGGCGCCTGAGGACCGGGTGAAGGCGGTGGGGACCCCAGCCTCACGCCGGGGAGAGCTCCCCCGAATGAGCCGCCCCACCCACCCCAAGGCTGGAGCCGCTGCACCCCGCTGTCCCTCCCCAGGCCTTGGCAATGACGATCCCCCAAAGAGCCCGTCTGCATCCCAGCCCCAGAGACTCAGGCCTCCAGCTCCTGGGATCCGGGAGTCCACCCCAGCGCCCCCAAACCCCGTGTGCCGCCCCCCTGCGCCTCCTCGTCTCCTCCCCGGGGATCCGCTCCCCGGGGCCCCTCGACGTCCACGTCTCGAGCTTAATAAATGTGCACTTGGTGTCCCTTGTTCTGTCTGCGTGTCCTCATCTGTGGGCGCACGAGGTGGGGCTGAGCGCACCTGGGCCAGCTGTCCCCTGCGCGCCTACAGGGGTCCCCCTGCGCCCCACCCCCGGCCCCAGACACCTCCTCCTCCGCCTCGCACCCTCCCTCACACCCCGGGAGGGGCCGTCCCGGTCCTCCCGCCTCTGCCAGGCGCCCCACCCACCCGCGCGACCTGCCAGCCCCTGTCCCGCATCTGGTCCCGCATCCGTCCCCGCGCGAGGCCAGCGCGGGTGGGCGGAGACCCGGCCCCGCCGCCCACCCAGCCCCACGTCGCCCTGAGCCTGCCCCTCCTGCTCCCACCCGGCTCTGAAGTCAGGAAACCCAAGAGGAAATGACTGGGCCTCTCGATCCCCGCCCGCCCGCGCTCCCCTGGCCACACCCTCCGCCCGGACGCCTCTCCCGCCGCGGTCCTCGTCCTCCAGGCTGCGGGCTCCCGACCCCCGGCGCTGACGTAAGTCCCTCCTTCGATCCACCTCCAGCCGCTGCCCCTCTGCCCAGCGCCGGGCTCAGGTGGGTAGCAGACCGGCCTGACGGTGCCTCCCCGCGTCCCATTCACGCCCTCGCCTCTCACCTCCTCTCCCAGCGAGGCGCCCGCTCCCTCCTCTCCTCCGGCCTCAGTCTCCCCAGCTCGCCTCCATCGCTCGCAGACCGGTCCCTCTCAGATCCCCCCAGCACTCGGTCGCCCGGGCCGCAGCACAGCCCAACACCAACTCACTTTTTCCCCTGCGATCAGGAGGCATTACTCACTCTTCCTCTTTCCACTACTTGCGGGCTCCTGGGCCTCAGAGAGTGACCCCATCACCCTGCCCCAGACCCCGGCCCGCCCTGCGCCTTTGCCGTCCATTCCAGTGAGGATCGCTGCCGGCCTGGAGGAGCACGGAGGGGCTTCTCTGCTCTGGGGGTGTCCCTGTGCCCTGTGTGCTGCTGGGACACCAGGTTGGCCCGGTGCTTCTTGTTTTCTTTGGAGGGTGTCGCTTGGGACTTCCACGTTCCAGATCCTCCCACGTCTCCCAGTGGCTGCTGTCAGCCCTGGCAGGGGTCCTGATGCAGGGAGAGAACCCGGCTGCCCCGAAGGACGGGCTTCTCTCACCCCTGTTCCCACTCACCCCATAGATGTCGCCCTCTGGCCGCCTGTGTCTCCTCACCGTCCTCGGCCTCTTTCTCCCCACCAGAGGTAAGACCCTGCCCTGGAGCCCCCAGTGTGCTGCTGGGTGGGTGTGTGGGTGGGTGGCCCGAGAGTGTGGCTGCTCTCTCCTGTCACCTCATGGTGCCCCCTCCCCTGAGTTGGCATCAGGAAGTAGAGATCCCTGGGCACTCTGGGGTTACACCTTCTTTGGGCACCTCAGACCTGGGTGGTTGCTTCCAGAGAGTCTGGCCAGAGCCGGTCCTGCTGAGCATCCTCCACCTCACCTCCAAGAACTCGCTGAGTTTGATTTGGCCTGGAGATTGGTGTCCGTTTTCTATTTGGCAGCCAGAAAACCTGGGCTCCCAGTAAAGCAGATCCCTGGGTCCCCTAACAATGAGCTGTCAGGCAAAGGGGGCATGCTGGGGCCAGGAGAACACTCAGCCTTGCCTGAGAAGGGTCTCCAGGGCAGTAGCCAGGGCCGATGCTTCCTGTGTGGCAGGTGCTTGCACCTGGGCTGATGGAGGCCTTACTTCTACTCTACTTATACATGTTGCTGTGCCCCTTTTATGGATGGGGAAACTGAGGCACAGTGGGCAGAAATGCCTTGTGCCAGAGTCTAGTGGGTAGACGACCTGGGGTTACCACAGCCCTGCCTCTGCCAGAATCTAGATCATTTGCTTCACCAAAGGAGCCCCGCTTCTCTTGGATATTCATGTATTCTTCCAACCACACCACAGCCATTTGTTGAGCACTTACTGTGTGCCAGGTCTTCTATGCGTGGAGGGAACGGCCGTGAGTGCAACAGGAATCGCAAGGATTCTGGGGGCAAAGACAAACAATAACCGGCCAATCAGTAAATTGTATGATGTGTTGGGAGGTGACAGTGCCCTGGGGAAAAGAGAGGAGGGTGCTAAGGCGTTAAAAAGTGGATGGACAGGAGGCTGAGGCAGGAGGATGGCAAGTTCAAAGCCAACCTCAGCCTCAGGTTGAGGTTGGAGAGGGGAGAGGGGAGGTCATGGAGAGGGGAGGTCGGGTGCTGGAAGAGCAGGGGGAGCCCTGTAGGTTTCAGGGGATGAACGTTCTCTGGGGACTTTGAGGAGAAGCAGGAAGAGCCAGTGGCCGGGTTGGGGTGAGCAGAGGCGGAGTTGCTAGAAGAAGACCTCAGGGGGTGCTGGGGGGCCGGAGGGAGTGGAGAATGACGGGCCAGGTGCGGGCTTTGGCTCTTACGCAGAGTGAGGTGCAGGGCTCGGCCCGGGAGCCTGGTGATCTGACTCAGGAGGTCCCCGGCTCCCCCTGACTGTGGGTGGGAACAGACCGTAGGAGCAGGAGCCAGGGAGAAGTCTCCTGTGGCATCTAGGTCACAGGAGGAGGGGATGTTGGATAATAGAGGTCACCCAGGGAGGGGCAGAGGCTGGAGCCGGGCAAGGGCAGCGGACACGTGTAGTGCCGACTACATGCAGGCGGTGGGGGGTACCGTGAGGCAGGTCTCGCCATTATCCCCGCCCTGCAGACTAGACCCCCGAGGGTTCGCTGGTTCTAAGTCACACAGCGACGAGGCGTTGGGAGTCCTGAATTCAGGGCCTGTGCCTCTAGCCCCTGGCTCACTAGAGGGTCCCAGAAGCCTGGGTGGGGAGTCGGGGTGGAGGGAGGGTCCTGGGACATCGGCACAGCTTGCAAACGTCCAGGAGCCACAGCTGGATGGCTCTTCCAGCACCCAGGACCTCTGGAGTCGGCCCCAAGGTCTGGGAAGGTCGGGCAGGGTGGGAGCGAAGACGAGAGAAGGGGGACCCGAGGTGCCCTTCTGACCTCTCCTTGGCTCCCCAGGACAGACGTTGGAAGAGACCACCTCCATTTCTACAGTGGACCCAACTATTTTGGGCACCCATGGCCCGATGCAAGTCCCAGGTGAGGAAAGAGGGACAGATCGGTCAACACCCCATCAGTGCCAATAACCCCAGCAACACAAATCTCAAACTTAGACCAAATAGGAATTTATGGATTCATGTGACTAAAAAGACTAAGGATAGACCTTCAGGCATGGCTGGGTCTAGGTGCTCAAATGTTGCCTTCGAGAACTTACCTCTTGGCTCTGTTTTCTCTGTGTTGGCTCCATTCCCCGTCAGCTTATCTTCTTACGGGCCAACATGGCCCTGAGAGGACTGCTAAGAATCCAAAGACGACAGAATTTCCACCTCCCCGATCTACCAGATGTCCCAGAACTGTCATTGGTCAGACTCAGGTCATGTGCCCAACTATGAGCTGATCATTATGGCTGCAGGCACAGGAAGCTGACTGGTGGGCCTGGGTCCCCTGGTCAACGGCCACCATGACTGGTGCCAACACCTCTGAAAAAAGTGATCCAGAAGTCCGGGAAGGATGGTCGCTAAGAAAGTTCCAGGGGGCTTTGATGGAGGCAGCTGGGTGCTGGTTGGCGGTCAGAGGTATCTGGGAAATTTCTTTAGACAGGACCTCGGAGTCCCAATAAAGCCAACTAGCAGCATTCGTCCCCCGAAGAACCACTCGGGTGGCTGGTGCAGGAGGAGGGGTGCTGGGGCCTGGGGAGACCTGGGCACCTCCAAAGCACTGCAGGAAGCTCAGGCCGCTCCCTGACATCGACACGCAGTTGCTGCGGGAACCCGGATCTGGCTCCTGGCCTCCTCCAATCTCCTCCTCTTCTGCTCTGACTCCTGCTTTCCTAACTCCAGGTTCAGTCCACCCGGAAGTCCAGTCCACCCCTCAGACCTGGACCCAGCCTACTGAAGGTGAGTGACGGGAGACAGGGGCCCTTAACCTCGCAGCCACCTCCCCAGCACCCCCTTTTTATTTTCCCTGAGCCGGTCTCCCTCTGTGGCTGAGGTTGGCTTTGAACTTGCCATCCTCCTGCCTCAGCCTCCCATCCATCCACTTTTTAAAGACAAAACAAAGGGAACTTTGGACATTGTGAAGTCTTACGTATACCAAGCAAAGCACCCACCCAGAGAGGTCCGCCATGGCCACTTACCCCAGCTGAACCCCTGCATGGCTTCCCAGGCAGACCAAAGAACAGAGCCCCACCAGGGCCCCACAGACGCTCCCTGTGCGCCAACCGACTCATTTCTTCTATTCCTCTCTTTATCTATTTTTTTTTTTAATTTTCAAATACTATTTGAACTTTTTCTTGGAGTATAACATAATTCAAAGAGTGCCCCCTGAATTTTCTCAGTGAATGATTATTGACACGAAGTACCTAAACACATTATCCTTGGAAAGAATAAAAATAGAGGACGCGAGACTGAATCCCTTTGCCAACTTGCCCCAACCTGTCCCAACCCGTCCTTGTTCTTTTTCCATCTCTGGGAGGCCCCACAGCTAACGTTAGGGGTGATTCCCTGATCCTATGGTATCACATGGATATTACTGCAGAAAATATACTGTTGGTGTATTTCTATGGGTTAAAGGATATCGCAAGAATGTCCTGCAACTTGCTTTGTCTTTTTTGTGGGGTGGGGGGAGTATCAGGGATTGAACTCAGGGTCACTGAGCCACATCCCCAGCCCTATTTTGTATTTTATTTAGAGACAGGGTCTCACTGAGTTGCTTAGCACCTCACCATTGCTGAGGCTGGCTTTGAACTCAATCCTCCTGCTTCAGCCTCCTGAGCTGCTGGGATTACAGGCATGCACCACCATACCCAGCCTTGCTTTATCTTTTTTAAGCAATACTATGTTTGGAAGTTGTTCTCACATCATAAAAACTCATGCTGCTGTTCTTCTCTGCTGTCTAGTATTCCAGTGTGCCGGGGCTGCGGTGAATATAGGCACACACCTCCCGATGCTCATTGCTTGCTCCTGTTTTTTCTGCTACACGCGGTGCCACAGTGAGCAGCCTTGTCTCTTACCTTTGAGCAAACACAGCACTTACATGCACCATCCTCACTGAACCCTGAGATAGAAACTGCCATTATCTCCACCTTACAGATAGTGAAACAGAGGCTCAGAGTGACTTGCTCAAGGTCTCACAGCAAGACAGACCCACAGCTGAGATTGGAGTCCAGAAATCTGGCTCCAGAGCCAGGGCTTTGATCCAGGATGCTATGGAGTGAAGGTCATGAACATTCAAATTTGTTTTAAAAGTTGCATCCTCAAATGGCCACACCATTGGCTGCATGCAGAGACAGTCCCCCTTACCTGGCCCTACAGTGACGCCCATATATTGACACCTTTGATTTGTGCCAAATTGATGGAGGGAAGGAGATACCGTTCTATAGACCTGCACGTCGCGGACTCACTGAGGTCTTCCTCCCTTTCTCTACCTCCCTCCCTCCCTCCTTCCTTCCTTTCTTTCGTACTGGGGATTGAACCCAGGGGTGCTTAACCACTGAGCCACATAGGCATTGCTAAGTTGCTGAGGCTGGCCTCAAACTTGTGATCCTCCTGCCTCGGCCTCCTGAGCTGCTGGGATTAGAGGCGTGGGCCACCACAACCGGCTCACTCAGTTCTTATCCTCCCCTCTTTGTTCTTCTGACCTGAGTAGAAACAACACAAACCCAGAACAGGACCGAGACCCAGAAGCCGACAGGAATGGACGTGACAGACCCAGGGACAGGAATGGACGTGACAGACCCAGGGACGCTCACGAGCAGCAAGGAAGGTAGAGCCCGGGACGGGGAGCAGCAACTTCCAGCTCTTGCTTAATTCCCTATCTAGGTCAGCGTCTCCCCTGGTACGAGTCTCAAGCACCTGTTTGGGGAATTGCTAATTCATTTTAAGGAAAAAAAAATTTTTTTGTGTGTGTGTGTAGTCAAAGATATTTAGGGAACTCTGAGTTAAATTTAAACACGGATCTTGATGGCAAGACTTCTCAGCACCTCCATAAAAGCTCATTTGCACCAAACGTCCCAATAGGCAGCCTCTGGAAGGCAGCATTTCCCCAAAGCAGTGGAGCGGGTGACCCTCCTTTGTGCACCCCCTCACAGGCTGGTGCTGGGAAATGACTGTCTGTCGATGCTCCCTTTGTGTGCACTCTCCCCCTGTGAGGGAAGGAACTTTTTGGTTGCAAAATATAGAACACCCAATTAAAACAAAGAGGTTTATTAGCTATGTAAGTTCTATGAAATCTGGAGGTCAACAGTTTCAGGCATAGCTGGATCAAGGGGCTTAAGCACGGTCATTAAGACTGAATTGCTCCTGCTCTTGACTGTGTTGTCTTCCTTCTTTTTTTTCCTTTTGGTCTCATAATTCGGTATCTACAGAGAATTTCTTTCTCCTTAACTCCAGCCCAAAGCCGAGAATCGACCCTCATTAGGGTTAGGGTTAGGGTTCGGTTAGCTTAGGCCACTCGGGCTGAGAAGCATGCACAGTTGTACAGATTGAGCACTGCACAAGAGCACCACCTCCCGGGCCACCTCATTTCCCTTGTCCATCTTCATAAATATTCTGATTTTCTAGTGGTGACAGTAGAACATCTCATTCCTACAGAATCTATGGAAACACTTTCACAACAGATGAAAATAAAGTCTCTTGGGAAATTAAGCTTTTCCATTTTGCACCAAAGGGCCCCTCTGGGAGACGGCAGCTGCGCCTGCATTTCCCAGCTGATCATTTAATTTACTCTGGAGTCTTTGCTGGCCTGGGTTGCTCCGGGTATTAGTCCTCCACCCTGGGACATGGGACAGAAATCAGCAGCAACGACGGGGTCATCAAGTCCAGGGGTAAAGGGTGCTGCTGAGCCTCAGGGTTGCCCAGGGCCTCTCCCTCCTCCGTCCTGGCCTCTCTCTTGCTGGGCACCTTGTGGGGACATGGCCTCTGCCCACGTCCAGCCCCCAGCTTCCTAGCTCCCCTTGTGACGTAGTCTGCTTTGGTGGCCATGACAAAGGATGACAGGCTGGGGGGCCTGAGCCGCAGGAATTTCTCTCTCATGGTCCTGGAGGCGGGAGTCCCAGATCGAGGTGGCAGCAGGGTCCCTGTGGGTCACAGATGGCCACCTTCTTGCCGTGTCTTTCTCAGGTCTGTGCAGGTGGAAGCCAGCGGCCTCTGGTCCCACCCTCGTGACCTCATCAAACCCTGATTACCTCCCGGAGGCCGCACTGCCACCACCTTGGGGGTCAGGGGCTTGCTGTCCCTCAGAGTCATCACTCTCAGGGAGGAACCAGATGGGGGTCCCCTAGTCATAACCCAGGTCACAGGGGGCACGGGTCATGACCGTGGGACTAGATGGACGGGGAGGGGGCTCTCTATTGCTCATATCTTCCTCTGGACCAGGCTTTCCCCAGGATCCCCTCATCATCTGTCGACCATGTTTAAGGGGCGAGGTGCTGAAAAGCTGGGGGAACCGTGGGGTGGTGGGTGCTTCCTAGGGCCAGGGTGGGGGGCTGGGGTCGTGGCTCAGCGGTAGAGCACTTGCCTTGCACGTGTGAGGCCCTGGGTTCAAGTCTCAGCACCACGTAAAAATAATACACAAAATAAAGGTGATGGGTCCATTTTTAACCAGGGTGGGGACGCAGACCTTTTCTTTGGGGGATTGACTTTTTGTGTCTAAGAACCCACTGGACTTTGGGGGATGGTGGAGATGTTGTGCGTGCAGGGTGGCTGAGCCAGTGCCTCGTGGGGGGTCCTTTATCCTGCCCAGGAGGGTGTAACCCACCTGAGAAGATAAGTCAGAAATGATCAGTGAAGAAATAAGACGCAGAGTCAGAAAAGTAGTTTTGAAGCAGAGCACCTGACAGGTCCTGCCCCTCAGAAGCCGGAGCCACACAGTTGGAAAGTGTCTCTGTTCATTCATTTAAAGGGAACATCAAAGGCAGGGCCAAGGCTTCAGGGTGGGTCTTGCTTCATGGTGTCTTGCAGGGGGTTGGGGCAGCTGTTTTTGACCAGCAGGTGCAGACCGCTGCTATGGTCCCTGCGGGTGGAGGGTGGGACACCCGTGCCCCTACACCAGGTGCAGAGACTGGGGGAGAGCTTTCTCCCCACTTGGGGCCTGCAGTGATGTCCATCTGTCTGTCTCCCACCAAAGGCACCACAGAGCTCACTGGGAGGCCATCCCCAAGCAAAGACGTCATGATGGACCCCCTGACCCCCAGCTCATCAGGTCAGTAACTCCCTTCCCAGACCAGAGATGGGTCGTTTCCCAGTTACTATGCATTTCCTGTCTCTAAAACACGAGCTCAGGACAGAGGCGTCCTCAGTACACACCTGTGGGGGTAGTGAATGACTCCCAGCCTGGGCGGGGCCGGGGGTGGGGGGACACGGTCATGTCTGAACCAACGGATGAAGGTGTGTGCATCCAAACTACGCCAAAACGCAGTGGCTGAAAAGGCAATCGCTTATTTAGCTCCCAGTGGTGCAATCTGGGAGACAGGCTGGGCTCAGCCGGGTGGTTCTTCTGGTCTCTGCTGAGCTTGCTCACGTGACTGAGATCCGTTGCGGGTCCGCAGGAAGCTCTGGTTCTTGGCAATCTTGTCCTCCACTTCCTGCCCACTCAACCCACGTGGAAAGGCTGGGCCCACACAGCCCATTCCTCTGTTAATTCAGCAGAGGTTCATTGAGAAACTTGTGTGTGGCAGGCACTGTTCTGGGAGCCGGGGGTACAGCAGCGAACAAGACAGAATCTCCGCCTCATGGGGCTGACATTCTGGGGGCGGGGGAAGACAGCAAATAATAATCGTAATAACACACAGCAGGTGGTTTTACTTTGCTATCCAGAAAAATAAAGCAGGTTTAGGGGAAAACTGAGGGCACTCAGAGAGGTGGTGGGAGCCAGATCGTGTGCTTGGTGAGGACTGTGGGATTCACTGTGAGGACAGAAGGGCTGAGTGGATCTGAGTGAGAGACCCAGGTGGATCTGCTCCCCGACTTTGCCATTCATCTTCACTCCACAAGCCTCCACCAGACCCTGACGTGTGCCTTGTCCGTCTCTTCCAGGTTCGGATGAGGACAACCCCTTCTACTACGGTAAGTCGACCCTGGGAAGGTGTGGGAGAAGGAAAGCCAGAGGTCCCTCTGATCGTCCACCTCCACTTCTCTCTCTGTAGATGAGGCCACTCTCCGGAGGCGGGGACTCCTGGTGGCAGCTGTGCTGTTCATCACGGGCATTATCATCCTCACCAGTGAGCACGGGGCGTGGCAGGAGGGGCACCAAGACGGGCTGGGGGAGGCTTTGACCTGCACTGCACCTGAAGGTCAGGTTCCTGAAGGTCCCTGGAAAAGGCTGCTCCGGACCAGGCAGCTCTGAGCCTCCCTGGAGAGCAAGGCGTAGAGATGAGCATCTGTTTGGCTCCCGTGGCTGCCACTGGGCCATGTGGGCTGGGCTCAGCTGGGCGGTTCTTCTGGCTGTGGCTGGATTGACCCGTGCATGTGGTGCCCGTTTACTGCGAGCTGGGAGCAGTGTTTCTACGGGCCCCTTGATCCTTCACCTCGTGTTCTTAGCCTCCATGAGGTGATGGCTTTCAGGCTCAGAACTGGCCACTGTCACTTCTGCCACATTCTGTGGATCAAAGCATGTCACAAGGGCTGGCTTCATTGAGAAGTCAGAAAATAGACTTCCCTTCTTGATGGGAGGGAGAGATAGAGTCAGATTGCAGGGAATAGGGAGGTGGAGAGGGAGGGTTAAGAAACTGGGGCCATTTAGCAGTCAACGTATCCGTGCACAGACCTGGTAGAGAACAAGGGGTGAACAAGACGGGGTAGGGAGAAGGTGGAGGAGGACCAGATGGCCCCTATAGACAAAGCCACCATAGCCACCCAGTGGAACCCAGTGGAGATACAGACTAGTGACCCTTTCAAGAGCTTATTGTTTCTGTAAAATCTTCCCATCCTTACCCGTTGGCAGCTGTGACAGTCAGGGTCATGACAGGTGACAGATGGGCCCTCACAAGGTTAACTGAAGCTTTAAAAGAAGAGATATTCATTTATTTTCCTTTGCTATAACAAAATACCTGAGTGGGGGTACTTACAAAGAAAAGGGGTTTATTTATATCACAGTTTTAGAGGCGGAGCCCCAGATCAGGCAGCCCCATGGGTTTGGCCTCCGGTGAGGGCCACTTGGCTGCATCCCATCATGGTGGACAGTATCATGATGTGGGTGGGAGGAGAGATCACATGATAGAACAGGAAGTGAGGGTGGGAGGGGCCCGTCCCGTCTCTTTATTACAACCCACTCTCTGGAGAACTGCTGACTCCAAGAGATCAGCGTCACTTCACCCCTTCTGAAGGTGACACCTTGGGACCTACTTCTTAAAGGTCCCGCAGCCTCTCAATACTGGCTCACCAAGGACTGCACTTCTGACAATGAACCTTTCCAGGGACACTCTCAGGACATGTCCAAAGCCCAGCAAGGGACTCTGGCAGGAGCAGTGGCCCCAGAGAGAGGGCCCAGCCACAGCCTCCCTGTAACAGGTGGAGGGATGCGGCAACCCCCACCCCATCCTCTGCTAGTGCTGAGGTCGAGGGTGCCGAGCGCCGGGGAGGTGGCCTGTCAGATGCGCCTCCTGGGGCCCCGGGATGGCAAAGGGGGGCTAATAAGGAGAGAGGCTAATTTAAATTTTTTTTTTCAATTCTGTGTGTGCAATAAAACCAAGGGCTGCTCCTTTTATAGTCTCTCAGCTGAGCTCTAGGACCCATGCCAAAGGCCTCTCGCATCCTCCTTGCTCATCAGGAAGATGGGCACAGACACCCTGAAGATGGGCGGCACAACACTAATAAGAATAAGCAGAGCCGGGTGCCGTGGCACACTCCTGTAATCCCAACGGCTCAGGAGGCTGAGGCAGGAGGATCCCGAGTTCAAATCCAGCCTCAGCAACTTAGCAAGGCCCTAGGCAACCCAGTGAGACCCTGTCTCTAAATAAAATCCAAAAATGGGCCGGGGATGTGCTCAGTGGTTAAGTGCCCCGGCTTCCATCCCAGGTACCAAAAAGAAAAAGAAAAGGCAGATTGGCCTCTGTCCGGGCCGCACAGCACATGGGAATCAGGGAAGACCCAGACCCAGGTCTTCGAGGGCAGAGACTGGGTGTTGGATTTGGGGCCACACATTTTTCCACTGACAGATATTTTGGGGTATCTTCTCTATGCCCGACCTGTGCTGGATGATGTTGGGGGCAGAGTGGTGACAAGCAGCCCTGACCCCTGTCCTTGGGAGCTCACTGCTGATGGGGAGACGATAAGCAAGTAGATGCCGGAATGAGCAGAGAGCAAAGAGAAAAAGATGTCTATCAAGTGCCAAGACGCAGGGCCAGGGAAGAGCACCTCTGAGGAGGAGGAACTGGAACTGAGTCCTAATGATGAGAAGATGATTAAAAAAAAAAAAACCCAGGTAGAGGGAGCATCAGGTGTGAAGTCCGGGGGGCAGGACTGAGGGAGCCTGTTGTAGTAATAGCAGGAGGAGGTCAGTGGCACTGGGGCAGAGTGAGCCAGGGAGAGGAAAGGAGGCAAGGGAGGATTGGGGGAGGCAAAGTGGCAGCTGGGAGCAGGTTTGCTTTCTTCAAGTCGTCCTTGGCTGCTAAGATCCCCCCTTACTCACTCTGGCCTCCTTCCTGTTCCTTGAGCCTATCCAAGTGGTCCTACCACAAGGCCTTTGCACTGGCTGTTCTCTCTGCCTGGAACACTGTTCACATATCCAACTGGCTCCCCCTCACCTCCTTCAAGTCTTTGCCCAGATGTCACCTCCTCGGTGGCCATGCCATCTTCAGGGAGGTCCATGTGGATGTACCCAACTCCTGGGCCTCACTGAGTCCTTTTTTTTTTTTTTTTTTTATACCAACCTATACATTTGACTTAGTGATTTTTTTCTTTGCTGGTCTCCCCTACTAGAAAAGCCAGCTCTATATGGTCAGGGATTTTTTTTTCTTCCTTTCTTGTTCCCCACTATATTTCCAGCGGCCTGATCAGTACCTGGACACAGTAGGTAGATGAATCCGTAATGCACAAAATAGTCTGCATTTTCCAAGGGCCTGTCCATTTGGGGGCTGGGGGGAGCTCCTCCCTGGGGGCTGGCCCTGGCTGTTCCCATGCCTGTCTCTGTCATTTATTTATGGAGCTACCTGGATGCTTCCTGCGAGGAGGATCCGCCAGCCTCTCCCCGGTCCCCAGGGCACACACAGGATCAATATGGCGCGTTTCCTCTGTCTTCACAGGTGGCAAGTGCAGGCAGCTGTCCCAATTGTGCCGGCATCAACGCAGGTGAGTCCATAAGAAGTGGGGGCCACCAACCCCACGGGGACTCCAAGAGCGAGCCCCGACCAGTGCCTGGCACCCAGCCTCCTCCCTCCCTCCCCTCCAAGAGCCTACAGAGTGGTCAGTAGAAGAAGCCCCGCCTGAGAGGGAAGACCCCATGGACGGAGCCAGACCTGGGCTGACCCCGAGTCCCACCTGCCCGCTGCCGCCCCGGGGGAATGCCGGCTCCCTGGGCACCGCCCCTTAAGTGACCCGCTCTGTTGGGACAAAAATAAAGCACATGGTCCACCTCCGCGGCCTCTGATCGTGCGACTGGGCAGCGGGAGTGAGAAGCGGGGCTGGCCTTGGGGACCCTGGAGGGAAAATAAGGGGCGGGCGGGGGCTCCGGGCTCCAGAGTGGAGGCTGGGAAGGAAGGGAGGGGATGGTAGGTGGTGGGTGACCGCGGCAGTGTCTGCGATCCATGTGACACCCCTGTCCTGGTCCAGGTACGGAGCTCGGTGTCCAGGGCCAGCTCCCCCCAACACAAATGCAGACTCCCACGCCTGGCGACCCCCTGTGCCTCCCTTCTGCACCTCGAGGAGGCTCACACGCGAGTGGGGACACCTCCGCCTGCCCCTGCGCTCTGTCCACTCTCCCCCAGACGCAATGACCTCTGCACGCAGGGCTGCAGGCCCTGGAGGGGGCTCCCCTGGGGACCCGGAGCCGGTGGACCAGGCACACAGTCTGCAGCAGGATTTCCTGAAGGCTCGCGGCCTCCAAAGCCTGGGGAGGGGCTCAGCCCTCAGGCCAGGGCGGGCCTCCGAGGTGCGGCCGGCAGGCAGGCGCCTCCACCCGGGCTCCGGATCCGGCCCCGGCCAAAGTCAAGAGAGGAGAGAGGTCCAGGTCCCAGACGGCTCAGCCACCAAGTCAGTTTACTGAGCCACGAGCTGCAGATGGGAGAGAAAGAAGGCACAGAAAATAAAATATCCGACTTTTTCTTTTCATGATCTTCCTCAAAAATATAGTGTAGCTACTATTTCCCTAGCATTTCTATTGCATTAGGTATTATGAGTAGTGGAGAGATGATTTAGGGTGGGAGTATTCCATAGATTATATGCAAATAATATGTTTGCAAAATATATTATATGCAAATAATATATATATAAAATATATATTTGCAGACCATTTTACGTAAGGAATCTGAGCATCCACAGATTTCAATATCCTCAGAGGGTCCTGGAACCACCCCCTTTGAATATCAAGGGAAGACTACACAGGTAGTATGAGAGATACTAAAAATATTTTATAATTGACATCCACCACCTACTAATCAGAATAGTTGCCTACCCCAGTCAGTATGGAATGTCATCTGTCTATCTATCTATCCATCTGGATCTATTTATAGTCATATATCCATATTAAACTGAACCATTTGAAAATGTCATCATTCAAATATTTTTGATATGCAGAAAGAGTGATTTCATATGACTTAACCTAACGATATACATCATGGTGATGATATAAAGTGTATTTCTAATCACAGGTTGCTTTTTAAAAACATTGAAAAGCAACACCAGGTACAGTGGCTCACACCTGTAATCCCAGCAGCTTCAGAGTCTGAGGCAGGAGGATCAGGAATCCAAAGCCAGCCTCAGCAACTTAGTGAGGCCCTAAGCAACTCAGAGAGACCTTGTCTCAAAATAAAATATAAAAAGGGCTGGGGATGTGGCTCAGGGGGAAAGCACCCCTGGGTTCAATCCATGGTACAAAAAATAAATAAATAAATGAAAATCACCAGAGAAGGGCTTGCTGCAGGTTGTGGTGGGGAAGGAAAACCGCTTCTGACCCTAGGAATTGTTGGCAGCACACGTGCCCCCGGCTGGGCAGCCACACCAGCATGCGGGATGTTTGTGGGGTATTAGTTCCCAAATTTCAGTTGTTGCATGTTCTTTTTCCAATTTTCACACACCCCCTGTATTATTCATCACTTTTTAAAAAAAGACCAATTCCCTTTTTAACTTAAATAAATTTATTTTAAAAGGCACAATCATATATAGAAAATCAATATAGCTTGATATAAATAGAAGACACCCATAAAGATGAATCTCATGAAAACCAATGAAGTCAGAGTCTCACTGTGTCCTAACTGGACACGAAGATGCTGACCGAGGGTTCCGGGCCAGAGGCCCGTCTGGCTGGGCCAGGGAGACCATCGCGTCTCGGGTGTGGTCAGTACCCACCACCCAGACACTGCAGAGGTTGGGAGGCCTGAGACTGCCCTCACCTCTGGTACCCATTGTGGGTCTGAGGACCCCCAAGATCATCCTTGGGTTGGATGATTTGCCAGAAAGGCTCAGAGTGCAATGATTGCCGTTAGGTTCATGGTCACGGTTGACAACGGTGAAAAGACGTGCGTTCAAATCAACCAGGGAGAGAGACACATGGGGAAGGGCCTGCGAGTGTGCCCAGCACAAATCTTCCCTGTCCCCGCCCAGAGGGGAACGTTGTGGACGATGCTAACTTCCCCAGGGATATTGCCCACTCACTCAAGCCTTGGGTCCAGAGTTTGTACCTGGGCTTGGTCACATAGACATGATTGACTTCCCATCTGGCTGACCTTAGCGTCCAGCCCTTTCAGAGGTGTTGCTGATCCTTGTGACCCAAAGCCCCCACCATAAATTGCATTGTTAGAAACCAGCTGATATGAACCAAGGCCCCCATATAAAGAAGGCCACACACCAGACAGAGGTTTTCCAGGGCCTAGCAATCACCTTCCAGCAGCCAAGGGCAAAGCCAGGGTGTGGTTAATTCAAAGTCAGGGTACAGTGGGCTCTTCTCTCTATAGACACATTTGGTGGATTAAATCAGTAAAGTGGACCATGAACTGCATACAAACTAGTTTCTGGTGATGCAATGTGACTGATTCTCTGGTGACACAATGCAAAGTGATTTAATATCGTCTGGGACCTGAAACCAGCTCATTGCTACCACCTCAGCTCAGGAGAATGGCCGGCAGTGTGGGAGACGCCAGCTTACCTGTGGACAACTGGAAGTGGGTCTCAGGGACCAGACCTCCCTCATCCCTGCTCCCCATGGGATGGAGATGACAAAGCTGTTTCCCAGAGGCATCCTGAGTTGGAGTTCAGAACGTGGATCCAGTTCTTCTAAATAGAGTCCCTCCTGGGAGATTTGAAAGACCAAGAGAGAACCTTTCTCCATAATTGGCTGTTTTCTGCAGTCTAGCATGATTGGAAAGGGACTGAGTTTTTGGTTTGGGTTTTTTTTGTTGTTGTTGTTTTGTTTTTGACTACACCACTCCAGCATCCAGTCATTTGCCTTGTGGTCATAAAAAGGCAATTGTTTCCTGTGTTCATATGTGAATACCACGACCAGTGTGACTCCACATCATGTGCAACCCCCAGAATGGGAAGTTAGCCAGCTGCAGTGGTGCACGCCTGTAATTCCAGGGGCTCAGGAGGCTGAGGCAGGAGGATTGCAAGTTCAAAGCCAGCCTCAGCAACTTATCAAGGCCCTAAGCAACTTGGTGAGAACTTGTCTCTAAATGAAATACAAAAAAGGGCTGGGGATGTGGTTCAGTGGTTCAGTGTTCCTGAGTTCAATCCCCAGTACCAAAAAAAAAAAAAAAAGGAAGTTACACTCTGCATATGTATAATATGTCAAAAGACACTCTCTTGTCACGAACATCTAAAAAGATCAAATAAAAAAATGAAAAAAGGCAATTATGCCCACAAAATATCTAAATGGACAATTTATATGTGAAAGATATTCAATTTCGTTAACCATCGGTAAAAGACAAATGACAATCACAATGAACCAGCACCACATACCCCTACAATTAAAGAGACTGACGATTCTAAGTGCTGAAGAGGATATGGAGCAACAGGAATTTTTGCACTGGATTTTTCCCAGGAGAATAAATTGATTATAATCATTTCAGAAAACTGGTATTTCTTTTATTTATTTATTTATTTATTTATCTATATATGACAGTGGAATTATAGTTCTTATTACACACACAGAGCACAATTTTTCATATCTCTGGGTACCAAGTATGAAAGGAAGAAACACGGATCCACACGATCACACGGATGCATCTCAAAAGCATTCATCTGAAGGAAGGAAGCCCCATAGAAAAGAGCACAGGCCGTATCAATCCATGGACCTGAAGTTCTGGAATCAGCAGAACTAACGGATAGACAGAAGCTGGGCACTGTGGCAACCACTCAGGATTGCCCAGGAATTTAAGGGCAGCCTGGAAAAAAAGCAAGACCATTTTAAAAAAAAGAAAAAAGTCAAAACAAATCAATGGTGACAAAAGCCAGAGTAGTGGTTGCCTCTACTATTATGATGTTGGCTCTCTTATGTCCACAGCAACGGAACGGGGTGACTGCCAAGAGGCATGAAGGCAACCTCTTGAAGGATTGAGATGTCCTGTACTCTCACAGTGGTGCGGGTTACCCCTCCTTATCCACCAGTCAGAGTGGATCCAACTGTCCAATTGAGATCTGCACCACGTGGAAGTTAGACACAAAGAAATCAAAACCCAAAAGGCAGTTCTGTTCTGGGTGGTGGTGACTTCCTGACCCCTGATCTCAGGCAGAGCAACAGGATCCTGAAGGTGACGTGTCCAGTGGCGGCTCCTGATTAGGATTCAGGGAGAAACGCCCCTGGTGAGTCAGTTGGGTCATATCTTGGGGATCATTTCCAGGATCTCAGTCTCGTGCCCACTCCATTAGCCTTTCCAGGGATGTCATGGACTCTAATCCCCAGATCCTACCAAATGTTTTTTTGCTTAAATCTGACAGTCACCAAATCTCAGTGGCTTCCATTGTACCACTGGAAGTTGTGGGGGGACTCAAGATGATGCAGAAGCCACTAACAGAAACGTAAGAGAACAAAAAGAGGCACACACTGGCCCTTGCAGCCTCTGTAGGAAGGAAAACACATCACTTTGGCTCACCTGTTCATTGCCACAAAACAGCTGCAGGGGTCTCAGCCATCATGCCAACTCCAGGGGAAAACATTGTGGGGCAGCAAAGGTAACACGAGGTGGTTCTGCTCCTCTTAAAAAGATCTCCTCCCCCCAAACTTCCACTTACTTCTGATTGGTCACCTTTATCTGCAAAGGAAACTAAGAAATGTCCTTTGGCTGAGTCCAGGACAACCTGGCTGACATCAGAGAAAACCACAGGCTCTAGGAATGTGTTGAGGAGGGCACTGAGCTTCCCCCAAGTTAGGAGATGGGGGCTCAAGCCATTGTTACCCCAATCTGAAAGGAAAAGACTTAAGACTGGGGGGTATTCAGACTTGCAGGGCACAGCACCCTGAATCTCCCCTTGGGAGAAATCTCTCCAGCAGGACTTCCTGTGCTTCCCAAGGCCTGCTTCTTGGCTGCCCAAACCCTTCCTGGCCCAGGACACTTTCTGTTGCATCATGTTCTGCAATGAAGCCTTCTCCTCCTCCACTCTGACATCAGGGGAGAAATTTCTTGCCAAGAGCTAATGGAGAGGCTCTTATAATTCAGCCAGGCTCCTGAGTATAATTCTGTCTTGTTTTGGATGAATTGAGGCCAAATCACATTAGCTGGAAGGAACCCGATTTTTCATATGAAACTCGATTGTGCAGGGTGTTGGGAGGGACCTCCAAAGCTGCGAGGTATATTTGCTTTTAAGGGGGTTGGGGAATTGCTGACTCCAGCTCCTGATGGTGGGAGATTGATTAAACACGGTCTGAGATGGCTCTGTATTGTGTTCACTTAGCTTTGTTAAACTACATTTCCCAGAATTCCCTTCCCTATATGCCTACCCGTCTCTGGTTATGGTGGGCCACAGGAGACATCCTTGTGGGGTAGAGGTGAAGTGGCAGCCATTTTGTAGATGACACCACTTGCCAATTTTCTGCCAGCTCATCTTGTAGATAGAAGGCAGCAACCAAGACTCAATTGTTCCACCTTTTTCATTCCTTCTTCAGCTTATCCAACTCCTGGGCCATGTGGGTATGATTAGCCCTGTGAAAAAGGGCCCTGTTTCTGGTAGGACACTGTACCACCAAGGACAGAGGCCACAAAAACCAACATGGGATTGTTTATCTTGGTGGGCTCCAGCTGGCTCCTTCCTCTCCCAGAACTTATCTTCATTTTCTGTTCTTGATTTCCTTCCCTGTGGGCTTTAGCATCAAGCATAGCAACAGCAGCTTTATAGGGACAGATTCCCACAGTTGCTAAAGCTTGGATTGTTGGATTGTGCGCGTGTGTGTAAGTTAGAAGTTCAGCTTTGCTGGGTGTGGTGATGCGTGTCTATAATCCCAGCAACTCTGAGAGGCTGAGGCAGGAGAATTGCAAGTTCAAGACCAGCCTCAGCAATTTAGCAAGGCCTTAAGCAACTTAGCAAGACCCTGTCTCAAAATAAAACTGAAAGAGGCTGGGGACGTGGCTCAGTGGTAAAGTGCACCTGGGTTCAATCCCCAGCACCAAAAAAAAAAAAAAAAAAAAAAAGTTCATCTTTGCTGATACCGAATTTAATACGCAGGGTGGTGTTCCAGAAGAATAGAATCCTATCATGAATTCTGGGTTTTCTGGAATTGGTTTTCGGACCTAATTAGATTTGAAGTCATTAATGACCTTTCTAGTGATAAAGGGGACACTGAGAGCCCATGGCATGAAGTGGCAAAAGAGTTGCTCAGATCATCACCTGGAGATTCCTGTGTTGGAATGACTGAGCATCTGCTTCCATAGCACATTTTTGTGAAAATCAGATGGATAGTGGGATTGGCTCTTTGTTTCTAACCATGCTGGAAAATGTGAGAAAAGAAAGTAATGAGCTCAGAGTTTCAAATTCCCAGCTCAAGTTCTGGATAAGAAACTTGAAAGCTTCTGTGTCTGCCTTGAAAGAAACTCTCATTTCCCATAGTCACAGGGCTAAGCTTTCTGAAAATCAAACCCCAAGTCTAATTCTGTGGGTGCAATTACAACAAACACTGAACTTCCGACCTCAAATTCTGCTATCGCTCAACTTCTGCCATCTCTTTGCAGATCGAAGCAGCCCTTCTACCTCTGCCTGAAAAGTGAGTCTTCCTTTGCCTGAAGAAACTCTAATGGTCTTCCCAAGGTAACTGCCTCACCAGGCTCTGTTGATGCTCCTGGGTGACCTATTCCTACCACCTCTTCTTGTTCCTAAGACCTAATTAGATTCAAGGCTCAAGAGAACCCAAAAGGTCAGGTACACATGAGAAGGTGAAATACACACCCAATTAATTGCCAGTTTCTGCTTCCAGTTTATATCAGCAGAAAACTGGAGAAAATGTGTAGAAATGGGTATCAAGATGGTTGAATCAAGGTAGAAGAATATAAAGTTGGGTCAGGCTAAATTTATGGCTATTGACCCACCAAGCAGAGATTCAGTGTTTGAGACTGAAAGTCTAAGAATGGTTCTCACATTTTCTTGGTTGGTTGGCTGATAATAGGGACCCCAAGTTGGCCTATACATCCATCCCTTGGTATCCATGGGGGACTAGCTCTGGGACCCCTATGGATACCAAAATACAAGGATACTCTAGTTCCTTCTATGAAATGACATAGTATTTGCATAGAAACTACCCATGTTCTCCCATGTGTTTTAAATCATCATTGGATAATTTATAATACTAAATATGCAGTAGATGCTATGAAAATAGTTGTTTTGTTTATTTATTTATTTATTGGTACCAGGGATTGAACTCAGGGGCACTCAACCTCTGAGCCACATCCCTAGCCCCATTTTGCATTTTATTTAGAGACAGGGTCTCACTGAGTTGCTAAGTGCCTTGCCATTGCTGAGGCTGACTTTGAATTCCCAATCCTCCTGTCTCAGCCTCCCGAGCCACTGGGATTACAGGTGTGTGCCACTGCTCCCGGCTTATTATATTGTTTTTAGAGAATGGCAGGAAAAATGCATTGTGTCAGTACAGATGCAAGACACACACACATACACACACACACACACACACACACACACACTTTTTACCCCCAATCCACAGCTCACTGAATTCACAAATGTGGAGCCTGCAGACATGGAGAGCCCACTCCACTGACTGTCATGGCAGAAGTCCCTTGGTATACTACAGAGCATGGGTCAGCACCCTTTTTCTGTTAAAGGCCAGATGGTAAACGACTTAGGTGTTGTGGGTTAGTCTCTGTTCACTGGTGCACAACTCTCCCCTCCTGGTGGAAACACCACCAAGTCAACTTGAAAACACACAAGCATGGCCGTGTCCCCCAAAAAACTTACTTACAAGCACCGACATCCAAATTCCAGATCGTTTTCCTATGTCAAAATATGATTCTCCTTTTGACTTTATTTCAACTATAATGTAAAACCCACTTTTATCTTGTGGGTCATCAAAAAGCAGCCCGGGGGCTAGATGTGGCCCAAAGGCCATAGCTGAATGATCTCTGCTGTAGCGGATGGTGTCCAAGGGTTGAGGGAGCGTGGCATGCTAAAGTGCCTTTGTCATAAAAGACTCGCTCATCCTCACACACGGGAAGGTCAGGGGGACACAACTTTCATCGCAGCTATCAGAAGTAAATCTGTGAAGGCAGGCCCCAGCATTCTTCAAGCGCTCTCTTGGTAATCCTTCTTCACAGGTCAGAGAGTCTAGTGGCAACGGACACCATTGAGCTGGAATTTCTAAATGCACTGGGCCTGATGGGAGCCCGAGTGGCGGGGATCCAAGTAGCATTGGTATGCAGGAGATGAGGTGAGCATGGTTACCGTGGGGAGGCCCAGTCAGCCGTGGTGAGAGTCTGACTCTCAGAGGTCTGGGCATTTGCTACTTTCTCACGGTATCCATAGAAATGAAAGAGGTGTGAGCCTGCTCAAGTCCTGCTTGATCTGATGGGTGAGTTCTGGATCCAGAGGACAGAGGTGTGACCTAAACGACCGAGGCAGGGTGTCCTAGCCCCTCTGTCACTTCCCATACTTGAGTCCTTGAAGGAAGGAGAGGCAGAGTCTCCATGAGGAAGGATGTTTTACCGCCAAACTTTATGCTGTTAATCTTCCTCTTAAACTTCTCCAGATACAAGTGACCATTTGCAAAGTGACTATGCTTTGGGGGAAAGGGAAATAATCACTTTCCGGAGATTACTGGACACTGGGCTTAAACTGACCTTCTTTCCTAGAGACCCAAAATGTCACTGCCGTTCTCCGGCAGGGACTTTGGCGGTCAGTGGACGATGGAGTTGTAGGAAGTTTTGTCTCACCGAGGGACTGACAGCTCCCTGAATGCATCCGACAGCTATTTCCTCAACTCTGCGATGAATCCTTGGAATAGACATCTTGAGCAACTGGAGGAATTCCAACTTGGTTCCCCGACTCAGAGACTGGGGAAGAGTATGGTAGGAAAAGCCAAGTGGAAGCCACCAGAACTCTCTCTACCCCTGAAAATAATCACGAAAAGCAATGCCACATTCCCAACAGGAGGGCAGAGATTGGGGCCACCATGACAGACTTGGCAGGTGCAGGGGTGTGGCAAGTCCCCTTACTTCCCCATTCAACTCACCTTTTGGGCACATAAAGAAATCTGATGAATCTTGAAGAGTGATGTTGGACCATTGTAAACTTAATTGGAGGGTGACTCCACTTTCTCCTGCTATTCCGAGTGGGTTGTGAGCGCTGCAGTAATCAACGCATCTCCCGGCACCTGCATCAAGTTATTGATCTGGAAAATTCTTTTCTACTTATACTTATTAGACCATTCGAAGTCACTTGTTTTCAGCCAGCAAAACCAGCAACACGCCTTCGCGGTCCCACCTCAGGGTGGCATCAGTGCTCTGGCCCTATGTCATAGCAGCATCTGGATTGACCTTCTTTCCCATGGGACGTCACGCTGGTCTGTTAGATTGATGATACTGTCGTGATTGGAGCTGATGAACAAGACGTAGGAACTACAGCAGCCACGATGGTAAGATCCTTCCACACTGGAGGGGAGAAATAAATCGCACAGAATTTTAGGGGCCTGTAACTTCAGCAAAAGTTCTTGGGGTCCAGTGATCTGAGGCAGGTGGAGAGCCCTCCCTAAGTGAAGGAAATGTTGCTGATGCTAAGAGAGAGGCCCAGTGTCTGTGGGGCCCTTTGGATTCTGCAGGCAACATACAGCTACTTTGGGAGCCCTGCTGGGACTCATTTACCAAGTGACCCCAAAGGCAGTCAGTTTGGGATGGGACCCGGAACAAGAGAAAGCCCCATGTCAGCTGGGGACCGAGACAATAGAGCTTGTACTGTGGCGGATGGGGAGGCTGTTTGCATACCCTGGAAGGCCTTGCAGGTCAACCCCACTGTGGACCTCTAGAACATGGGGGGCCCCGTACCCTTCTTTGAAAATACTCTGCTGTTGAGAAAGAGCATTTGGCTTTCTCCTGGGCCTTAGCAGAGACCGAAGCTGGACTCTGGGCAACCAAGATACCATGTGGCCTGAGCTACCCATCATGCCCTGGTGTTGTCTCACCCAACAGCCACGAACTGGGTGAGCAGCAAGTACGCCAGCACTCCAAGGTCAAATGGAGCCGGTGTCACCTAGACTGGGAGCAGGTGGGTCCTGAAGGTAAGTTGCAGGAGAAGTGGTTCATGTTCATTCCTTTCCACGGCCTCTGTCTCAAATGACACACTCTCAGCAGTTCCCTAGGACCAGCTGTCACAGGAAGAAAACCTTAGGATGGTTCCCACAGAGTCCTGTGTGATCCGCAGGCATCACACACGGGTGGGCAGCTGCAGCCTGATGGCTTTGTCCCAGGACACCCCCGAAGGAAGGAGTGTTTCCTGATCAGCCGTGCATCTGGTGGCACTATGACTTGGAGGAAAGATGTCCACAAGTGTGGGTCTGCATCCGTCATGCGCTGGCCGGGTGTTCAGGTGCCCGAAGGAACTGACTGACAACTGGTCACTAGCGAGCCTGGGACAGGGGAATGCAGACGGCCTGCCCCACGGGAAGAGGATATTTGCGTCCTGTGAATGCACACCAGAGAGCCACTTCAGGAAATAAGATCTTCATGGTCAGGTGGACGGGATGACCCATCCCCTGGGTCTCCTTCAGCCTCTTTCCCCAGCCATGGTCCTCGCCCAGTGGGATCACGAGCGTCATAGCGTGGTGACCACGAAGAGGATCCTGTGTGGGTCACAGTAAGGACCGAAGCTGATCTGACTGCCCTGACTGCTGGATGCCCAGACTTCCAACAGAAGTGACCCGCACTGAGTCCTGATACGGCTCATTGCTCAGGACCATCCCCAAGTGTCCTGATGGCAGGTCAGTTGCATTGAACAGCTTGTATCATGGAAAGGACAAAACCTTTATTTTATCTTATTTTTATCAGCTTTATTGTAATGTAATTCACACGCCATACAATTCACATTTAAAGTCAATGCCTTTAACGATGTGTGCAATGATCATCATAATCAATTTTAAAACATTTCCATCATCCCCATGCCCTATAATTACCCATCTCCCTGTTCCCTCATTTCCCTCTAAGCATAAGCAGTCATTAATCTCCTCCCTGTGTCTAGATTTGCCTATTCTGGACATTTCATATAATCTTTGACCTTTTGTGATTGGCTCCTTTCACTGGGCATAATGTTTTCAAGGTCCCTCTGTGAGGTTGAATGTATTGGTAGTATATTCCTTTTTGTGTGTGTGTGTGTGGTACTGGGGATTGAACCCAGGTCCCTGTGCAGGCCAGGCAAGCACTCTACCAACTGAGCTATATCCCCAGCCCCACATTCCTTTTTATAGTTTAATAATATTCCACTGTAAGGTTTTAGTGTATTTCATTTATGCATTCATCAGTTGATGGATATTTGGGGATGGATATTTTGCCTCTTGGTTATTACGAACAATAATGCAATACACATTCATGCACAAGTTTTTGTATGAACATGTTTTTTCATTTCTCTTAGGAAATAGAATTATTAGGTCAACTCTATTTTTAGCAGTGTGAGAAACTGCTAGACTGATTTCCAAATTGGCTGCACCATTTTACACACCAGCGATGGATATGCACGAGGGCTCCAATTTCTCCACACCCTCACCAAGGCTTGTCATTATCTGACTTTTTATTCCAGTCCTCCTTGTGGGTGAGAAGAGGTCTCTCATTGTGGTTTGGGATTGCATTTCTCTAAAGACAAACACTGTTGAGCATCTTTTCATATGTTGATTCACCATAGGTATATTTTCTTTGGAAAAATGTCTACTCAGAATCTTTCCCCATTTTTAAAAAATCACATTGTCTTCTTATTATTGAGTTGTAAGAATTCTTTATATATTCAGGACACAAGACCCTTATCAGATATATGATCTATAAATATTTTCTCCCAATTGGTGAGTTGTTTTTTTTTTTGCTTTCTTGATGGTATCTTTGAAGCACAAAATGTTTTTCTTTTTAATTTTGGTGAAGCTAGATTTATTTTTATTGTTGTTGCTTTTGTATTGGTGTTCTATCTAAATGTCCATTTGGGGCTGGGGTTGTAGCTCAGTGATAGAGCATTGTCTAGTGTGCACAAGGCCCTGGGTTTGATCCACAGCATTCAGGGGGAAAGGAATCTGTTGCCATAAACGAGGTCATGAAGATTTACCCTTGTGTTTTCTCTTTGGAGTTTTATAGTTTTAGCCCTTATGTATATGTCTTGCTCCATTTTGGATCAATTTTTGCTTATGTTGTGAGGTGAGCATCCAACTTCATTCTTTTGCATGTGACTATCTGGTTGTTAAACCACCATTTGTTGAAAATGCTATTTTTTCCCCTGCATTTAATAGGCCTCAAATCCTTGTTGAAAGTCAGGCTACAGATACCGGGACTGACTTTGGATTCTCAATTCTATTCTGTCGATCTCTATGACTAGCCTTGTTCTTTGTTACTATTGTTTTGGACTAAGTTTTGAAATCCTGAACTTTGAGTCTTCCAGGTTTGTTTTTTGTTTTTTCAAGATTATTTTGGGTCCTTTAGAATTGCATATGAATTTTAGAATCAGCTGATAAATTTCTATAAAGATAGGTATTGCATTAAATCAGTAGATCCACTTGGGGAGTTTTATCATATTAACACTAGTAAGTCTTCCAATCCATGAACATGGGATGTTTTCCCGTTTATTTGTATCTGCTTTCATTTCTTTCTATTTCTGTTACATATATTTCTAAGTGTTTTATTCTTTTGGGTGTTATTATGGATGTAATTGTTTTCTTAATTTTATTCTTGGATTGTTCTTTGCAAGTATATAAAAATACAATTGATTTTCATATTTAATCTTGCATCATGAAATCTTGCTGATCTTGTTATTATATTCAGTACTTTTTAAAAATAGAATCTTTAGGATTTTCTATACACAAGATAAAATCCTCTGTGCATACAGGCAGTTTTACATCTTTTCCATCCTGGGTACCTTTTACTTCTTTTACTTACTTAACTGCCCTGGCTGGAGCCCTTATTATCATGTTGAGTAGAAGTGGTGTGAGTGGACATAGTGAATTCTGTCTTTAACTATTAAATACAATGTGAAATGTGGGTGGTTTGCAGGTTTTGTCTGTGTCCCCTCTTATATTCCTGGGGATAGAGCCTTGCTCATGCCAGGCAAGCACGTACCATTGGGCTACACCCCAGTCCCAAGCTGGGTTTTTGAGAGGTGCCCTTGACCATGTTGAGGAAATTCTCCTCTGTTCCTAGTTTACTGAATGCTTTCTTTTTATCAAGAAAGGCTGTTGGATTTTGTCACATGCCTTCTCTGTATCTATCAAAATGATCATGTGGCTTTTGTTTTTTTTTAATTTTATTAATATGATATATTATTGATAAACCCAGCCTAATTCCCTCTTAAGATTGGGAGCCATCTCTCCACAAAGTCATGAAAAGTTAATTGCGGTTTTACTATAAATTTCTGTGATTTCTGAACTTGCTTGGAATGCCTGCCCGTGCCTTGAACTCACTCATGCCTGGCTTTCCCTGACCAGATAGCAGCCCTCTCTGAAACTTTAGTGGTGCCTCATAAATTCTGGCTTTCCTTGGCCAGATAAGGACCCTCTCTGAAGTCTTCTGTTCCCACGGTTTTTGGGAGAGGCAGCCCAGCCGGTCAAAATTACAAGCTTGCTTTAATTTGATTTCCATTGGAAGTCGGTGGTCTTTTCTTTGCGTCCTGGTCTAACAATTATACTAACTGATTTTCAAATTCCTCTTATGTTCCTGGAATAACTTCCATTTGGCCATGGTATATAACTCTTTATTTTGCTAGATTTGGTTTGCTGTTATGTAGAGGATTTTGGCATCTCTGTTCTTAGGAGATATGGGTCTGTAGTTTTCTTGTGATTTCTTTTGTCTGATTTTGGTAAAAAGGTAACATTGGCCCTGTAAAATGAACTGGAAGTGTTGCCTCCTTTTCTAATCTCTGCAAGAGTTTGAGAAGAATGGATATTAATTCTTCAAATATTGGAAGAATTTTCCAGTGAAACTGAAGCAGGCCAGAGACACCCCCACCCACCCACCCAAAAGACCCTTGCCATGATTAAGCTTCTCCTCTTGTCAGATCCGCAGGATGTCTGCAGAGGTTACTGTGGTTGGTAGTTTCCCTTTTCTTGTAAATGCCAGGTTTTCACATGAAAGATGTGAGTTAGTCTGCAAGGCTGTTTTACAAAAAGATGTTATCTCTGTTTTCTTCATAAAGACGTATAAGCTCCCTGTCTGGCCTTAAGAAAAGCACTTTCTGAAAATTAAAAAAAAAAAAAAAAGGAAAAAATATTTTTATGTACATCTCCAAACCCCTCCTGGCACTGGGTATAAAGTTCAAAGAATTTCCCAAATCTTTGTTCCAAGGAAGAATTCTAAAGTCGAGAGCCACCTCTGAACCCTGCAGTCAATAAACCTGCCTCCTCTGTCTGATTGCTCGGTGCCCAGCCTCTTCTGTCCTCCCTCAAAACCTTCTGCCTCTGGATGTCACTGTGGGGAGGGATGCGTTTCTGATTATCTCTTCAACCTCTGCACTTATGGGCAGTCTGTTCAGATTATCTATTTTTTTTTTCTTAAAGTCAATTTCAATCATTCATTTATGTCTTTCAAAGAATTTATACATGTGCTATGATTTGAATGTGTTCCCAAAATTCACGTGTTGGACCCTTAACCCACAGGGCAGCAGGGTTGGTGGGTGGGGTCTAACGAGAGGCCCTGAGGACTGTTTCAGGTCGCTCCCTAGGAGTGGTTAGTTATCGCGAGAGCAGGTCCTCTAACTGGGTCTGCCCCTCCTGGGTCCTGTCACCTGAGCTTAGCTGCCCTTCACTTTTCCACCAGGGGATACCACAGTCAGGAGGCCCTCACCAGGTGCAGCCCCTTGATCTTGGCCTTCCCAGCCTCCAGAACTGTGAAAAATAAATGTCTTTTTCTTTATAACTTACCCAGTGTCGAGTATGCTGTTGTGGCAACACCAAACAGACCAAGACACCATCTAAATCCCATAGTTCATCAGTTTACAATTATTTCTAGTATTCCTTTATAATGATTTTCATTTTTGTGAGGTCGGTAGTAAAGTCCCCACTTCCATTTCTGATTCTAGTAAGTTGAGTCTTTTTTTTTTTTCTTTGTCAATCCCGCTAAAATTTTGTCAATTTTGTTGATTTTAAAAAATAATCCTGGGGCTGAGGTGGTGGCTCAGCAGTAGAGCGCTCGCCTCTCATGTGTGAGACCCTGGGTTCGATCCTCAGCACCACATAAAAATAAACAAAATAAAGATATTAATAATAATAATAATAATAATAATAATAATCCGTGCTCCATTTCCTTGATGTCTCTCTGGTATGTTTTTAAGTCTCCATTTCATTCGTTTCCACTGTGATGCTTATTATTTCCTTCCTTCTTCACAGTTTTGGTTTTGCTCTTATTTTTCCAATGTCTTAAGGTGTTTTATGGACTGAATGTGTCCCCACCTCCGTTCATACGCTGAAGCTCTAACCCCTCGTGTGACATGGGACACCAGTTGGAGGTGGGGCCTTGGGAGGTAAGGAAGGAGGTCCATTAGACAAGTTCCTGAGGGTGGGGGCTTCGTGGAGTCAGTGTCTGTCTGAGACTAGGAGGAGGGACGAGCTTGCTGCACCCACCCACCCACCCCCAGCCCACGAAAAAACAGCAAGAAGCAGGCCCTCTCTAAGCCAGGAACTGTCACCCAGCTCCTGGATCTTTTGGACTTACCCGCCTCCAAAAAGCGAGAAAACAAATTCCTGTTGTTAAAGACACTGAGCCTCGGGCATTTTGTTATGGCACTCTATCCCCACTAGATGGGAGGTTAGAGTATTGATTTGAGGTCTCTATGTATTTGCAAGTATAAATGTCCCTCTAAACCCTGTGTAGCTGCATCCTATAAGTGTTAACATGCTGCACATTGACTCCTGTTTCTCTCAGTGTATTTTGTATTTCCCTTGGCTTTCTCCTTTGACTCATCGATTATTAAAAGTGTGTTGTTTAATTTCCACCTATTTTCTACATACCACCTGGGAATAAGGACAGTTTTCCCCTTTCTAATATGTGTGCCTTTTACTTATTACCTTGTTACACTGGCTAAGATTTCCAATAAGAAATTGAAAGAAATGTGGACCATTTTTCACTTTTTCCATTCTTAAAGGGGAAAGCATTTATTTTTCACTATTAAGTAAGATGTTAACTAC